GGAGTAGCTGTGAAAGGCTCGAGATCCAATCGCTAATCAATGACGAGATTCTCAAGAGGCGCAACCGGAACCCGCGGCAACGAAAGGTGATGCTGGTCTTGATTGAGGATCTGTGTAAGAAGAAGCTGCAGAAAGGAAGACGTCCTGAGCCTGAGCGACGGCGAAGCGACTGAACTAATGTCTGCGAGAGTTCTACTGTAAGTGACGAGGGTCAGAAGACCGAGAGACTCGAGTATGTAAAGTGAGTACGGATACATGTGTAGTTGCAAGAAACAACCGGACACTAAACGAGTTGAACGAAACCGTTTCGGCTCACGGCTCCTTCTCTGGTCACCATGTTAGACTCCAGTCCTGACCTCGACATGGAGCGATCTGGACTGCAGGTTGCATCCCGTCTCAGGCATGGCGGTGCAAGCAAGTGCAACCTCCATCATTGGTCAACAAAGCCTGCCGCGTCATGGCGAAGGCGGACTTTTTTAGTGTAGGCTTGCGCAAGAGTTCCTGGCCTTGCATCGATCCGGCACACACTTTGCTTTCGGGACGCACGCGATGCTGGAAACTAGTCTCGGGCCCTTGCTCTATGCGATATGGCGGGCGGCGCAATACGAGGGCACTGCCATGTTTTCCGACTCCAGTCCATGCCACGAAGTACGTACCGGTACATGTGCAAGTATCATGGTGGCCCCGAAGGCACACCAACAGTGACCACCATACCGAGCTGCCAGGCCAACCCACGGAGGGGCCGGGGTTTACAGTGAACGGGTGCCGCCAGTGCGAGCGGTCCAGTGTTCAAATTCAAGTCAGGACATCAGATCCAGTCAGTGACAGGATGTATTTGTTGCAGAACCTTGTCTGTTGGTGCTGTGCAGGTATCATCGACGGAAGTGCCAGCAATTCGTTTGCAGCTGCAAGCCTGCGAGAAGAAACATGCTGGCACCCGCGCATTCCGGAAACCCACTTGTTGGAGGCCCCTGCGTCGTGTGCGTGGTTGGTAGCACTTCCCGATCACCGCGGCGTGAAATCGAAATCCATCGTCCATGTCTATTCGTCACTCGCTGACGTGTACTGGTGACTAAGTACTCGCCAGTCCATCCGAACTCTTCATCACAACAGGGCACCGCCCAGGCACCAACTTTTCGCGGTAGTAACTTGTATCGACTTCGTGCTAAGCTTTGTGGAGCGCCGATCTGACTGCAATGTAATTACTAATTACGCTACACGTACTGCTGTCCGGTTCATTTTCATCAATCTCCCTGTCTCAGGAGCAAGACGACTCATCCCAAGATCTGCAGTCATGCCTCGTTTCAAAGCGCACCGATGATTTTAAATGATTATAGCATATACGTAGCAAGATGCAGGCTCACGAGCACGAGGTAACCTGTCAGGAACTGACACAGACTCTGGTCCTTTTGGCGAGGAAGGCCATCCTCTTCCAGACATGCGCAGATCTGGCTCTGACGTTGGAACGATCTGCTATTCAATTCGCTTCGTTCAACTCTTCGTGATTGCCACTTGAACTACACCCACGCAGCCTTGCAATTTCTGCTTTGAGTACTCCGTACGGATACCGATAGATCCAAGTTGATCGCCATGATTTGTGATGACCGGATTCTGCTAACGGTTCGCAATAATGTTCAACCGGGTCTAGGCGGACCTGTTGATCCGCTTGTCATGCACCTGATGTCAAACGGTGACCCGAAACGACAAAGCAGTCGGAAAGGGTAAGAAAAAAAAAAAAAAAAAAAAAGACCACTTAGGACCTTGGTGAGGGTTCACCTCCTTCCACCTCATTTCCTCGCTCGCCTTACGGACTGCCCCACATCAACGACGCCGCCAGGCACGAAACCTTTGGCCACCACATGATTCTTTCTCCCTTTGAACCACCACACCGTGTTACCCACATCGTGACAACGGATCGCAATTTTCATCCTTCCCACTCCATACGCAGTGCTGCCCATCAATACTCACGGCCTTTTAGCGACTACAATCTGCCAAGCGCTGCATCGTCGTCTCTGCTCATCTACTCGTGGTGAAGGATTCGTGCGCGTCAGAACTTTGCTAAATTGAAGTCATTGTTTGCGCACACTCTTTGACACCTCGCCATCAACAAGAGTTCACCACAATCGCCGATCGTTGTGTATCGCATTTTGCAATCATATTACTGCGCGTAATGCGAAGCATCTCTGCTGCGTCCTTGTATTGATTGAGCTGCTGTGCTGGGCCTCCACCTCGCGCGACGTCAGTGATCAAGATCTTCTACTCTTTAACCATCGTCTGCTTCCGCTCCAAGTGTCAATCACGATTCATCAAGCAACCGCTGCAATGGCCGACGCAACAAACATACAAAATCTGCTGGCAGCACTGGGTAAGTCACGTTGGGCTTCGTGTGAACTGTACTTGAACTGAAGTCTAATGCGATCATATCTCAGCCGCCCAACGACCTGCCACCACAACCCCATCGCAAACACCGACATTGACGAATCCAGCCTATGCTCCTCCCCCGACCACATCGCAGTCCGCACCTGGATACCAGCCCCCTCTGCCTGGAGCGCCTGGATATGCCCCAGGCGCCCCGGGGCTGCCTGCCCCGGCTGCTAGTGGTAGCCTCGACCTCAGCGCCATCCGGCCCGTCAACTCTGGCACGGTGAATTTTAACGATACTTTGGCCAAAGTACGCGCATCTGCTGCTGAGAGGGGCATCGCCTCGTACGACAGGCCCCTCGTCTATGGCAATGAAAACCGCGCGCAGGACAGACCGTATGGGCGCTCGAGATCGCGCTCGCCTCCACGCGGCGACTACGCGAACCGATCAAACCCTTACCAGGACGAGCGTCGCGGCGGCCACGGTAGAGACTACGGACGCGATCGATCTCACTCTCCCGGTCGCAATCGGGCGTTTTCGCCACGCAACAACGGCCGCGACCGATCACCCCTCCGCGGCGGCGACGATAACAGCGAAGTCATTCAGATCGAGTCCAGCCTCGTTGGCCTTATCATTGGTCGCCAGGGTGAGAACCTCCGCCGTATTGAATCCGAATCCAGCTGTCGAGTGCAGTTTCTGCCGGCCAGCGATGGCGGGCCGTTCAGGCAGTGCAAAATCAGCGGACCTCGCCAACGACGGGCTGAGGTGAAGCAGGCTATTGACCGCATTATCGATGACAGTGGCATGGGTCCTCTGAACAGGGCAGCGGACAAGCCTCGGGATGCCAACAAAGGCGGCGCGACTGCTCTGCGGGATGGAGAGGATCACATGCAGATCATGGTTCCGGACCGGACCGTTGGTCTCATCATCGGTCGTGGAGGCGAGACGATTCGCGACCTTCAGGAACGCTCTGGGTGCCACATCAACATCGTCGGAGAATCTAAGAGTGTCAATGGACTTCGCCCTGTCAACTTGATCGGCACACCGGAAGCTGCGGCGAAGGCCAAGGATGCCATCATGGAAATTGTGGACAGTGACAGCCGCGGCGAAACGCCCGGCGGTGCTGCCAGCCTGGTAGCTCTTGGCGGACCCGGCATTGGAGGACGAGCCAGTGCTGGCCGGCCCGACAACCAACGTAGAGATGGCGGCGGCGGCGGCGGCGGCGGTGGTGGTGGTGGTGGTGGTGGTGGAGGGACAGACAAGATCAACGACGCGGTATATGTACCGTCTGATGCTGTTGGCATGATCATTGGTAAGGGAGGCGAAACGATTCGCGAGATGCAAAGCACCACTGGCTGCAAAATCAATGTCGCCCAGTCTTCAGGTCCAGGAGAGGTCGAGCGTGAGATTGCTCTGATTGGTTCGAGGGACGCCATCACGCAGGCTAAGATCGCTATTGAGGAGAAGGTGGAGGCAGTGGTGAGTTCTCTCGTCGGCCACGATGGCAGAACTTTTGCTAACCATGGAGCAGAGACAGAAGAGTGGTGGAGGTGGTGGAGGTGGTCGTAGCCGTGGTCACCACGACCAGGATCGAGGAGGTTATGGGCAACGTGACGCTCACCACCAATCTGCTAATCAGCCCGCGCAACCGTCTGCTGCAGCCGATGGCAGCGATCCCTACGCACAGTGTACGTTTCTCGATATCTGTTCGCGCTCGGCAATGAAACTAACCGAACACACAGACGGCGGTTACCAAAACTACCTCGCCCTGTGGTATCAGTCTTTGATGTATCAGCAGCAGCAAGGCGGGCAGGGAGCCCCAGCCGGGGGAGCACCAGCTCCCCCATCCTGAGTGACGATGATGTCCTTGAACCGTCGTGTCGTGCCATATTCATGGGGGGCAACCCTGATTGAGACTCGTCCACATTGACCGGTGTCGAGAGACACCGATCGACATGCCTGATGTGTGCCTGACATCAGTCTACGAAAAAAGTTTTGATATCTTCCTTGTGGCGGACCGGCGGGTTGCTGCGTGTACCGACTGACCCAGCTCCCTCTTTTTTCCTGCGTGCTCCTTTCGGGCTGCGGAGTTCACGATCAGACGTCCATCATTGACACCGACTTCTTTCTGATGTTGAGGCTTTTCCCCCTCCCAGCAAACAAAGATCGCTTTGATTGTGCGACGAATATTAGGTCGCGCGTCGTTGGGCCTGCTTGCCAGCACGGGCTGCTTCTATCACTGACGTATAGTCTTCATATGTCGAGGGCGACTACTGAAGCCTTCTTCCATGTGGTCTCTGCCTTCTCTTTCGGTGGCTTCGGTTTCTGCTTCTAATGGCGTGGCGCGGCGGCGCACCCTGGGACTCATTCGACGAGCCTTGACGTGTAATTTGTTGCCCCCTCGGGTCCTTCTTCCGTCCAGTTGTGATTCTCTCACATTCTGATTTATGAATCCAGTTTGCTCATTCGCTGCGTTGCGTTTTAGGATGAATGATCAAGGGGGCCGGGGGGAGTGGCCTGGGATCAATCAACGGTATTGCTTACGATGCGAGGGTTGGGCATGGGTGCATGTCTCTTTCGTAAAATTGACAGCTTAATAATGTGTAAAGTACGATTTTCGTCAAGTCCACTATTGTCTCTATGGTGCCACCAGGTCTCCGACCCGACAATTGTCTACTACCTCAGCCCCTGCCACCGCGCCAGACACTCTGTCCTCACTCAGGGCATGTTCCCAGACTTCCCTGATGCAGCGCCAGTACCTGTCCGCATCCTCTCTTGCGTGCGCAACGTGTTTGCCTCCGTCAAAGCACTCTTTCCTGACCACAAGGTCCCTGTCTACCTCGGCCTCGAGCGCATGACGCTCGACATCCTCAAATGACACCATCTCATCGCCCGTGCCGTACAGGTATAGCCTCCGCAGCTCACCATCTGTGAGCTCTGGTGAATTCATGAGCATGGTGGCCGCGTTCTGAGGGGCTTCGTAACCCCACGGGCGATGAAGTAGAACCTCCACCCCTATGGCAAAATGGACGACAGGCGAGAAAAACCCTGGCGTCGATGCCATGACGGCCTTGTGTGTTCTCATCCAGTGGAAGTAGCCAGGACACGAATCGAGGACGAGGACTCTAGGCGGCAATCGGACCCGGAGCATCTTGTGCAAGTAGGCGAACACGCCCGTGCCTCCATTGGAGAAGATCTGGCATATTATCTTCCTGTTGGGACACTGCTCCGTGTGAGATTCCAAGTAGGCCGATGCCGGCGTCAGATCCCGGGTCACGGCACCGGGCGTGTAGAGGTGAGACGCCGGACAGCGGATGATGAGGATCGGTGTCGATGGGTACAGGGCTATGTACGGATTGGTGTATTTGGCAATGTGCGACTCCTGTGCTGCGAACCAGGTGCAGAGGACGATGAGGCTTGGTGAGGTTGGCGCCGGTCTGGAATCACATGGTTGATAAAAGGATACAGAGGCTGACAGTGGTTTCCAGTCAGCACTCGCCATTGTGAACAATGCAAGTAGGAGTTAAGCTTTTCTCCTTCGCTTTCGCATTCATTTTCGGTAAAATCGCCTATCGCCTGATCTTATACCATGATGAACATCAAGTGTGCATGTGAGAGCATTCGATTTGTTGAGCGCGCATCCTTGCCGAGGGCCTATACCGATCGTAGGCATCAGCGCGAGGCGGTGGGACACTACGACGGACCGCAATGTGGACCTTGGATTCCGCTCGTCGTTTTCTTTTGCTAACGACAACAGATTGAGCAGAGGAGCTGTAGACGGCAGGCTGTGCGAGCATGGATACTCTTGGACCACGAGCAAACGAAATGCGTACCTGGCCTATTTCGCTCACCATCGGCTCCTGGGATCAGATCCATGACGAGTACTTTCAGAGTATCGTCACTTATTTGTCCTTCTTCTTGACAACCGTCACTGGCCAGAAACCACCCTCAGTATGGCTCTTCGAAGGACTAATCCACGGCGTCCTGCCATGCGGCGGCTGCCGGACAGCGCCCAGTCAATTTGATTGATAAGGTCGATACCCCCTGGAGATCGCTCTTCTAGCCATCATCCGCGATAGCGTTCGCTGGGTTTTAAGTTTAGACCGTATCCCTGTATTGTTGACTCGGGGTCGCCATGACTCCAGATTCGCGAGGGCTCGTATCTCATCTTTCGCGAGCTCATTGACGCGTTGCGCATCATGGGAGGAGTGCCAGAGTGGACTGTACATGGACGAGACGACATGTTCCTGCAGAACGTTGTCGCTGGTTTTGACGTTGGAAGGGCTGAGATGCACTTTTACCGAACCGAACGCGTGGTACCAATGTAGACTTGGATGAAAGGTATAGTGCGCCTCTATTTATACTTCGTCGTTGGTCGCGAAATTGACAAGGCAACCTCGGCGGACGCGATTGTTTGACGCATTAGCGGCATTACCCGAGGGCATCGTGGTTAGTAGGAAATCCCTAGAGGGGCAGATTTGAGTGTAGATTAGACGTGAAAACCCGTTTGGCCACAGCGCATGCCGACAAACGTAAAAAAAAAAAAAAGAAGAGACCGAAAAGGACGAAACAGCAAGGAGGTGTCATTCGTGTGTCTGCGCCCGAAGACTCAAGAGATACGTATAGATGTCAGAGTCACAAGTAGAGCTCGCCGTACTCTTAGTCATTTGGTCCTATCGTGGGCCCCGGGCCCTGCTGTAGGCCAATCTATGGCGCCAGCTCGACGATAATCGCCTCGTGGGCGCAGGGTGTGATCTTTTCACTTCAGGTGTTGCTATGTAACCAGCAGGAAGTTGAGATCATCTTCTTCCAACTTTCTCGCACGATACTTTCCCCGGCATTTCGCACGCTCTTCTTCAACACACTCTGCTTTTCGTGGCAGGCCGTGCCAGTTGACATCATCAGTGCCCCGCGAACCTACCCAGCATCTGCGATAACCGATAAGTGAACGACGACAACGACATTGAAGCCTGGACAAGATGACGGTGGGCGTGGCAGCGGGATCTCCCTCGCCGCAGGGCAGGTCAAGAGCCAATACCTACAGTTTCAGCAAGGTCGGTCCTTCTATTTTTCCCTTTCTCGCAAGCTTCAGTGGCCAGCCAGTCAGTCAAGCGATCACCCCAGCTGTCCAGGCGGTGAACCATCGGGGGTTCCTCCGACGCTGTTGACGGTCGTTCCACGGATCTGCACAACCGACAGCGCGCCTTCTGGCTGCTGGGCGCAGACTGGCTGTTCAATAGAAGCATCTTCTGCATTCACCGAAATGCTGCACCGGCTTGAGCCGGGACAGCACCCGTTGGGGTTTCTGTTACGCTATCAAAGCTGCACTGTGGGCGAGCGCGGGTCGAACCGGATGGGTGTGCAAGGCGTCGGGGCAAAGGAATGCAGAAAGGGTCGCCAAGTGGTCGTCTTGCTTCCTGGTGCATCGCGGAGAGGGAGGGGGAGCAGTACTCCACCTCGGTAAACCCAAAAGGCGTTGGAGTTGGAAGCTGTGTCGTCAACAAGTCGTCGAGAGCCGCTTGAGCCTTGGAAGTCCTCGCCCGACCCGGTGACAAGTGAATGTCCGAGCAGCACGTGATTCGTCTCATTGCACCTTCCCAGACTTTCATTGAGAGGAATTGGACGCTCCTGTACAACCGACTGGAAATTGGCAATTGATCGATCTCTGGTTTGGCATCGTCAACAGCTGGACGCCCGAGGTACCTCAAGGTACCTGTACCTTACCATCTCCCCGGGGAGCAACATCGGGTCGTGAGACTCCAGTCGTCGCAGACGCAATCTCTGCCGCGGACGTCATTGCGGCGCACGACATACAAGCTGGGCTCCTTGCGTTGACCCTCTTCATCAATCTTCACTCGTGCACGAGGTCTCCTGCAGCTGCCAGGCAGTATCAGCCTCGGCACTCTTCATTCAAGCAACCTTGACATCTCCAGTGGGATCCCCTCGTCTGCTGGTGTCACCATCAATCCGTCACTACACTGGCCTTTACCGCCTAGTGTTTTCACCATTATTGGGCGAGCCGTTGCGCAATCAGGGGGGCTCCTTCCGTTCTCTGATTTCAGGTCGAGGTCACACGACCAAGAACTCTCTCCACGCTGATACCACAGCTCCTTTGCACATCAAAACCGCTACTTTTATCCCTGCGCTTTGCAGTCCTCGGTGCTGAGTAAATTTGTCGAGGGTGGCTTTGTCTAAGCAGGAAGCGCGTTGGATTTCTACCATAATCATGGCGTCCAAGGCCATTACTAACGGGATCGGCGTGCAGGTTGAGGACACAAAGATCTGTGTTGTCATGGTCGGATTGCCCGCGCGCGGGAAAAGTTTCATTGCTCAAAAAGGTGAGTTCCTCTTAACCGCCATAGCGTGCTTCCACTAACGACGTCAGCCCAACGGTACCTCCAGTGGCTTTCAATACCGGCGCAGGTCTTCAACGTGGGTAACTACCGCCGTAGCGATGCGCCACAACCAACTGCAGACTTCTTTGACATGAACAACACGGAAGGCGAACGGAAACGCCGCGCGGCGGCTGAAGCCGCTGTCGCAGACATGCTGGCCTGGCTACGTTCTGGCGGCGTGGTCGGTATCCTTGACGCGACCAACTCAACAAAGGAGCGCCGCAAGTGGGTTCTCGACACATGTAATGGCCATGGCGTTGAAGTGCTGTTTGTCGAGAGCAAGTGTGACGATGAAGACCTCATCATGGCCAATGTGCGCGATGTCAAAACCACCAGCCCAGACTACAAGGGACAAGACCCAGAAAAGGCAGCACAAGATTTCCGCAACCGCATCAAAATGTACGAAAAGATATATGAAACGATTGGCGGGGATGACTCGGAAGAAGACGAGTACACATACCTCAAGCTCATGGATGTAAGCAAGCAGGTCATCATCAACCGCATCCAGGACTATCTGCAGAGTCGGGTGGTCTACTATCTGATGAATCTGCACATTCGTCCACGTTCGATCTGGCTGTCAAGAGTAAGTCATCACAGCCTGAATGACAGTGGTCACCACTAATTCGTCAGCACGGCGAATCAATGTATAACCTTGACGGGCGGATTGGAGGGGATACACTCCTCTCACCACGTGGAGAGGCATATGCGAGGAAACTTCCCGAGCTCGTGCGACAATCAGTAGGCGTACGTTTGCTCCCAAATTTTTCTTTGAGCCCTTACTAATGGCTGTAGGATGACCGACCGCTCACTGTCTGGACGTCCACATTAAAACGCACTATCGCCACGAGTCGTTTCCTCCCTTCGCACTATAACCAGTTGCAGTGGAAGGCGCTGGACGAGCTCGACTCTGGCGTCTGCGACGGCTTGACGTACCAGGAAATCAAGGACCGGTATCCCGATGATTTTGCCGCTCGCGACGAGGACAAGTACAATTATCGCTACCGTGGCGGCGAGTCATATCGTGATGTTGTCATCCGTCTGGAACCCATCATCATGGAGGTTGAACGCGGCGAAGACATTCTGATTGTCACGCATCAGGCTGTCCTACGCTGCATCTACGCCTACTTCATGAAGAAGGATCACACGAGAAGCCCTTGGATGAATGTGCCCTTACACACACTCATCAAGCTGACTCCCAAGGCGTACGGCACTGTGGAGGAACGCTGGGAGGCGAATATCCCGGCGGTCAGTACGTGGCGCGCTAAGGGCAGCACGGCCAAGCATGAGAATCCCACACCGGGCAGCCTGTAGGTCGGGAAGACTGTGTCGGGCTCAGGGGCTGAATTGGACAAGTGCATTCATCAAGATTAGGTGGGCGGGCTGGCACAGGAGGACTGACGGCTTCACTGTACTTTGTTGGTGCTTGCAGATTCAAAGCAATTTACATTTCCACATGCTCTGCTCGCCCTGGCAGGATATATTTGTGCGTTCCGGGGAAACATCCGGATTTCTCGAGCCGGCTCACTGTTCAGAAAATGCTCCCATGGCCGCCATAACTGATGATCCTGGGCCTCGGCCCGGCCTCCGACTCATTCGTCGCGGGTGGGAACTCTGACGAGTCCATTCCTAGCTCCGGATCGTCCCCGTTGGTCTTCACCGTTGCTTTTATTTGCCGAACCGTATCAGGGGTTTCAAGTGCGTCAGCGCGCTCCCGATCCTCGGTGCCTCTTCTTGCGGTCGCCAGTTTCGGCGTCCCGGCTTCGTCAAAGCGCTGAGATGTTGCCGCCATCCGCCCCTGCGTACTTTCCAGGGTTTCGTAGAGAGGTAGGTCGCTGCAATGGCGGCAGTTGGTCGAGTATCTCGATGCCTTGTCAGTTTTGGCGATGAGATCGGACATTGTCATTTCACTGTAAAGCTTGATGAGGTAGGCAATGGGGTGGAAGCAGACGAAGAGAAAAAGCCAGCTGGGGGACAACATGCTACCAATGGAGACTTTTTTTTGGGAGGGTTGATTAGCAAAGATTCGCAGTGGCACTCGGGCAGTATTTACATCCAGGGAGATTGATACAATAACCATGCATACGTTGATCCTGTACAACCGCCACCAAGGAGTCACCTGCCACGATATTTTTGATCCAGGCCCTTTTTAAAATCGCTCTTTCTTTCGCAAGAGGCGCAAGAAGGGCAAAGGTTTGACAGAGGTTGTTGGCGATCAAACTCAATTAGACGGTCATGACACAAAGGCTAAATATAATACCTTTACACATGAAGTTGAGAGCTCGTTCCTCGAATCTCGAGCATTATGGCGCTCATAATATCCGGCCATTAGTATCTTTCTACTACATGTACCAACGTTTAACTTGCACGCTTCTCAGCAAGACTCACTACTATCCAGCCTAATGATTTAATCCCAGACTAATTTTATTACGCCAGTTCAGTAAGAGGACGGGACACATAGACAGGTATAGTAGGCGATGCAGAATAGGATCTTCAGGTGCGAAACCTCTGACCGCCAGGAGCAAAACCAATGGGTCGCTAGGAGTACCAGAAAGCTCCCCATCGCTTCCCACATCACCACAAAAGGAACCAGGAAGAAGCTGATCAAGGCGGAACCAGTATATATGCATCCCCAACTCCATCCGCCCAAGCCCGCAGAACTATGATGCAGCTACTGTGTGAGTTAAAAAAGAAATGAAAAGGAACGATACTATAGGGTGGTATAAGTCTGAAACCAAGAAACAACGCAACGATACCTCCTCCCAGCCAAGGGTCGCGTTTTGACGCCAGTCCTTGCGCAGTTTTGTTAGAGCCCAGTGGAGAAGGCCAGCACTGGACCATCGCGTCAATAGGTCCTCCTCGAATCCTCCCCCTTTTTGAAGTGATGCAATATGAGAAAGCCGGGGCGTGCAAGTAAGTCCAACCAACCAACCAAAGCCCCACGTCTCTATCGTACACGAGTAACTCCGTTACTCAAATTAATACCAAAGACCGCCTTCACGTCGGACACGTAATTCCTCGTGTTGATTCATCCCGTACTTCTTCGTCAGTACATCCCAGAGCGTCGGCAACTGACTCGCCGTAAGCCAGCATATACCCAGGTGAAGCAATGCGCCATGCTCCCAGCCCACAAAAGACAGCCCTGTGCTTTGGGAGGCCATGCAAGCACAAAACGCCATGCCGCCTAAAAGCACAATTGTATGTCAAAATAATCGATATCCACACCGGGCAGTCGTCCCCCCTCATGACGGGTTCACTTTGGTCCGCTTGTTCATCCTAGGTGTCGCTGGCTTGCCAGGCCGATTCTGCACTCCGTTCATCTGCGGCGTCGGCGCGCCCGACCCGTCATCTTCGACCTTAACGCCTGACGGGCGTCTTCGCTTATTAGACGCAGGCGACGTGTTCGCACTCGGACCGCTCGAGCTCGTGCCCTGCTGGCTCTGCTGCATCTGCATGGGCGGCGCTTGCATCTGCCCAGGTGCAGGGCTACCCATGTGCGGCGAGCCGGGCAGATTGGCGTTAGCGACGGCCGGGCTCGCTCCCATCTGGAATTGATTGAAGCTTGGCGTTCGGGGATTCTGCAGACCGGGCTGGCCGTTGGGACCCCCTTGACTGACAATGTTGGTCGCGACGTACTGCTCCAGCGCTGCGTAGGGTCCCATGCCAGGGTTGGCGTGGTAGTAGCTGAACAAAGGGTTCATCTGGCCCATGACCTCCACTATCTCCAGGAACTGATGAACTGCTGGCGTGACTCCTTTGCTGTTGACAGCGGAGTCCGGCAAGTCCATCAAGACCTCGGGAGGGTGTGTCTGTGGGGATTTCAATTGCTTCCCCTTGCCCTTCTTGGACAATTCGGGCGACTGCTTCATGTCGCTGTTGACATTCCGCCATTCCTTGATCCATGCATGAGTAGGCTTGGCGGCTTCGATCACCTGCTTCCGAGATACATATTCTTCCTGGCTGGATGTCACGAACTCAAAGAGGTCGAGCTTCTGCTGACTGTTGAAGCTAGCGCGTAGTGTTCCGTTCGCAATAAGCTATGGTCGTTAGTCGCGTCCGTGTCCCCGCAGCACAATAAACACTTACGTGTGAACCCGTCTCGAACCAATACACAAGGCTGGCCCGGCTGTTCTCAACATAGTGGCAATCGTGCGGCAACGCTCGATCCATGGTCCCCCTATCCAGGATCAACTGTATATTCTTGACGCCACTGTGAAAATGTGTGTGGAAGTATCGCGCGATGGCCGAGGAAGCTATTTCGTATTGCTTGTCGGTCGTCTCCCCGCCGTCCGTAATGTGCAATGAGTGCCGGAAGACGCCCTCGGGGGCGAAGAATCGATCGACAAACGTCGCCCAGTAGGAGTGGTCATCCCGTCCGCGGGCATTTTGCTGGCTCATGTTAACATTGGTTCAATACTGCACGGAGGAGAGTGCTCACAGCGTAGCCACTGAGGTGTTCGCCAAACTGCATCAATTTCAACAAACATTGACCGCGAATCCCGTCCGCGTTCTGCTGTTGCTGTTGCATCTGTCGCCGCGCCATCAGTTGACTCTGCATCATGTGTTGATGGGCCGCGCTCATTTGCGGATGCTGTTGCATCTGCTGCGGAACAGCTTGCGGGCCCGGCTGAGGTTGCGCAGGTTGCGCAGGTTGGGCTGGGCCCTGCGGCTGCTGGACTTGCGGTTGCGGTGGTGGCTGTGGGCCTTGCTGCTGCGCGGCTGTTGAGCCTGGGGTCTGTGCAGGGGTATGCCCACCAGTATTGGCTGGCGTGCCGGCTTGTGACGTTTGTTGCGGCGTTTGATGCGGCTGTGGGCCTCCTTGCTGTGACTGGTTTTGCTGCTGCGAGGGTGTTTGTGTACGGGTTGGCTGCGCTTGCGGGCCTTGTGGGTGATTGGCTTGTTGAGCATTCATCTGTGCCTGGCTTGGTTGCGCCTGCTGTGGCATTCCCGGCATATTAGGCACGTTCATCTGTCCTGCTTGGCCTGGCTGCCCAGGTTGTTGCTGCTGCTGGCCATGTTGATGTTGGTGTTGGTGTTGTTGCTGAGCCTGCTGCTGTTGCGCCTGCTGCTGGGCCTGAGCCTGCATTTGGTGTTGATGAGCAGCCTGTTGTTGCTGTTGATGCATCGCGTACATCATGTTCGGATGCCCCTGCTGCGCACATTTAGCGTTCTGTTGGACATGAAAAGATGAATACCAAATCTTACCATAGGCATTTGGCCTCGCTGCTGACGGAGGGCATGGATTTGCTGCGGGGTGAGCTGCATTTGTCCGATAGGCATGCCTTGGTGTTGCACGCCAGCATTGAACTGCTGCGCCATCATATTTCGAGCTTGCTGTTGCTGGTGATGCTGTGCCATCATCTGTTGTTGTCGTATCGCCGCGAAATTGGGGTTCTGAGCAACTGAAAGATCGAGTTAGCCTGTGGGAGAACAACTGGACAGGGTATCCGCAAAAATACATTGCTGTTGCATGTTATGCTGTTGATGTTGCTGTTGTTGCTGCTGCTGCTGCTGATGCTGCTGCATAAACGCCTGTTGCTGCGCAGGAGCCATATTCTGAAACTGCGCAGCCATACCTGGCGGCATAGCAGCCATCATCGCATTGGCTTGAGCACCAGGCGGCACCCCCATCGGCCCGCCGGCGAACTGATGAGGCATGCCGCCCGGTGCGCCTTGCTGCCCCGGCTGGTGAGGCATCCCGGGTCCCACGGGATGGCCAGCCACGCCTGGGTGCCCCATGCCAGCAGGATGACCGGCATTGAAGTTGGGGCCCATGCTACTAGTAGCCATCATCTCAGTTTCCTGGTCGCCACTCCACGACGTGGGTGTCGACGAAGACGTCCTGTGCTATTGCATACGCTTCGACGAGTAGGTGTGTCGATCGCGAAGCGTGCCCGAGGTGGTAGGTTGGACTGCGGTCAGATTGCCGCAACGTGGTTCACGTCGCGTAACACCTGGTTTCCGCAAGGAACTTATCGCAGCGACAATCCTGTCGAAGGGCAGATGAGATCGAGCGATAGCGGAAGTACGCTATGCAGGAACACACCTCGTGACGTCCTGAATACAATGGCGTGACAGAAGTGTCTGTCAGTGTTGCGCGGAACAACCACGACCAGTCACGGCGCGCGCCCTGGTATGCACGCTTTCGCGGGGCAGTCTTTCAGAGCGAGGATAAAAAGGTCGTTTTTTTCCTCTGTAGCGCTTTGCTCGTCACGAATGGTAACGGTACAGTGGTTCGTGTCTCGCGTGTTTTACGTGGGCCGCCGTGACGCTAGTCCACCCGTCGGGCAGTGGGGAGTCGATTCGAAAGCGACAGAGCCCAAGCGCACCACTGCGGATTTGAGGATTAATTCAGCAAGAAGCGGATAGTGCAGCGCAAATGTATCGTGACGTGGTGGGCGTCGTCGGGCAGTCGCCACGGCGATGTGAATCGGTTCGGGGCGTGGAGAGGTGAAGTGCAGAATGCCAACCCTGATCTGCCTGCTAGGGACAGGGTGATGGGAAGAGACGAGCGACGCAGCAGGTTGGGATCGTCCAGATGGGTGGACTCGATGCTTCCAGTCCTGGCGCCTCGACGGAACTCGCAGCCTGAACGAGAACGTAATATGGGATACAAGGATAATAATTGCGGGTCTATGTACAAAAGCCGTGCTAAATATGCGATTAAACGGGGCCAAGAGATTTAGGATCTTTAACGACGAAAAGAATAGTGTGGTAGGCGCGGCAAATAACGTATCAGTATGAGACAGACTTTTGTCGCCCAGTCTGGGCAGCGTCACAACTGGTAGACGAGAAACAATGCGACAAGACGTGCTGCAGCCTTGAGGCGCCACTCTGTCTTCAATAACCTCACATACAATCACATAGAACTGCTACAGAACTGAAATTGAATCGAACCTGTACAGAAATCCTCTTAATGCGGATGCCGAGCTAGTCTCGGTAGTCTTTCGTCTTGCGGTTGATGAATTGTCACCTTACGGCAATCCCGCCGCTAACATCGCGGCTCGAGTGGCCGACTGCAGGTCACGTGGACAGCACAGTGTGCATGTGAGTGAAGCAAATTTTGCTTGCACTGTCCTAGCATAAACTTCATCGCGAATCTCGACGAGAAATTCCTCCTCTCTCACAACCAACGCGCGCGCTCAACCGCCAACGATACCTGTCCTACAACAGCCATGCTGCGCCGACTTTCAGTGCCTTGATCACGACTGCTCTCAGAGCTTGGGAACTTATTTGTTCTCGCCAATATCTAAGGTCGGAGGCCAGTCGCTGCATCGTGGATGCAGGGCGAGTATCTGAGCGCGCGCGCGCGCACATACATAGGAAGGTAAGCTTTTTCTTCCCTTGCATCACCATCTCTCCTTTCCTTTTTGCATGATGATCACCCAATCACTTCTTACCTTGTCTCGATTCGACCATGAAGAGACGTACTCGGGCCCGCTTCCAACGGGCCTGTTACTTGCCAGTATATCATTCTGACTACGCAAGATCTCAACCCAACATGTGGTGCTGCAGGGCATGCTCAGAAAAGCAGAATGCTAACTCGGCGTCAGTTTCCCCAGACAAACATCTAACTTCTTCAGTCACGACGGCTGAATAAATTTTGTCTTAATCGTAAGGCTCCTTCCCCCTTCGATAACCGCCATGAGCATTTTGCACTTTCATGATGAATTTTCCACCACTATTCGCAGTTTCCACTCGAGTCCCATGAGCCTTTGGTGACAGATGAGGGATAATAGATCTTCCTTGGATGTCTGATTAAGTTTTACATACCTTGCTTTTCTGGCGCTGTTGAAATCACGACTCAAGCAGATAGCTAACTGTCTCAAGTCTAGGGAACAAATTTTTTATTCATTTACGACGCTGGTGTCAGGTAGCCTGCGCAAATGTAGCACGTATTGTGAGGATCCAATCATAGCGTAATTAATATCTTGATAATGTCAATCCAAGGTTTCTGTCAAGAACAACTGGAATAAACACGCTGCCTAGTGAACGCCTGTTGGTGAACATGCTGTACACATATCATGAGACCCGTAATTCTTCCCGCGGCCCTTCGCGCTTGACTCTGCCGCCCACGATGCCCATCCTGTTCCTCCCAGTCCTTCCTCTGCCTAGCCAATTCAGTTTGAGCATCTTACAGAGCTCAATCACCTTCCTGTTGCCCTCGTCATCTGCTCCGCCGACACCCCCCAAGCTCGCCAGGACACTCATGCACTGGAGCATGCGCCCGACCATCTCCGTAACTTGCTTCGAGTCCTCGACGTTTTGCTCTCTCACGCTGCCCAGGACCTGCACCCCTGATGGCGTAAAGGGCCGCATTCCACCCTCGCTACCATGACTGCCGAAGGAGACATTGCTGATCGCTCGACTGCGGCCATCCGCAGACCCCACCGAGCTCTCGCCAAATAGCGTCGTCGAACTCGAGTTATAGGAGGCGTTGGACGGGTCAAGAGACATTGCTGTCCCCGGACGCGCCATCGAAAGGAAGGATTCAGGGGGCGACGTTGACAGACTGGCGTCCTGCGGGGAGCCATATGATGTGTTGAAAGATGAGGGGAGAAATTCGAGTGACAAGCGAGAAAAAATTGTTCTGAGTTTGTCATAGCGAGGCAAGATGATGCTGTCCCGGTAGGCAATCAGGACAAGGCGCCGCACGTCGAGAACTGTGGCGGCCGGCGCGACGCGAGCTGGTCCATCCGCGGACGACGGTCTCGCTACGACCCCTCCCCAGAAGTCGCGAGCCTGATCACGGTTCATGATCGTACCGCCACCGGACACTTCAAGATCGAGTGGAAGAAAAACGGACTGCATGTACGGTAATATAGACGTGAAGGTGAAGAGCCACAACTCCACAAGAGTTGGTATGAACCGCTCTTCCGGGGTCTTGCGCAACGTACGATCCAGCGACGAAAACCCCACCGAGAGAAGATCTCGCAAGTCCTCAAGCATGCTGTTTGGGGACCTGCGATGTATGCAGTACTGAATGTGCATTTGCACGACCCTGTTGAAGTCTTCCACTGGCAGCCTCAAGTCCTCGCCCTCGAAGATGACGAGCAACTTGGCCTTGAGGTACGGCCATGCGTCGTCTAAGGTCATCTGATTTTGCAAGCCCAATTTCCCCGGATCTATTGGGTCGTACATGGTAGACTGCTGCGATAGGTTCGGCACACTTCCCGTGGCTGACCAGTAGTCTGCTGCTTCATCGCCATGCCCTAGACGACTTTCGGAACGCTCTGCGAGTTTCTTCTCCTTCTTGGCTTTGACGAAGTTACTTGAGCCGACGCCGGGGCTCGGAGGTAGGTTGAAGTTGTACAGTGGTTTAGGCGCATTCGGATCGGTAGGGACTGAGTTGCTTGCGACTGAAGAAAGTGGCAAGTGGAACTCATCCTTGAGCTTGTGTTTTTGCCGCGATAAGAAGTGATGCTTCTTCTCCTTCTCCTTGCCCTTGTCCTCTGGAAGCGCGTCGGATGGTCGGATGGTGGCGGCAGAAGAGTTGCTATGGCTGTATAAGGCCTGGGTGTTCGGCTCGACGAGGCTTGTAGTGCTAAAGTTCCCACGCTGCAGGGCCGAGAGGGCCGATCCAATTTTCCCTGGACTCGGCAGTGGCTTCTCCTTGGTGTCGCTCTTGGTACTGATTTTGCTCGGTCGCGAGAATAACTTTGCCCTCGCCTTTTCCGACTTGCTAGGTTTCTCCGAAGCAGGCGGTGGTATCGGGGGAGGCGGCATCTGCGACGCAGCCAGACCCGGGCTGGGCGAGTTGTGTCCCGACCGGGGGAACACCACATTCGCAGCAGCGGTGGCGGCGCTGGAGTGCGCACTCCCGGATGCTAGTCTGCCTTGCTGATAGTGATGTGTCCCGAAGGCGGCATCTCGTGGCGCGCTGGCCTCTGTCAGGCTGAGCGTGGGCGGACTGACGGGTCCTTTACTCCCACTGCCTCGTCTCGGCCCATCAGCGCCGTCGTTGGGATGGGGCACGGTTGAGGAACGTTGCCGCGCGTGCTGCTGACTATGCTGATGTGACATGACCGCGGCCTGCGCCGCAATCTGACTGGCGGACAGCACAGACGTCGCCGAATTATTTCCTGCCGTCGACATGCTCATTCCCAGATGACCCAGATTCGAGGTGCTGGTTGATGGCAGCGACGGCTCGAAGAGGCCGGGCGTCGCTGAATGTTTCCTAGCATGATTCTTCATACCGCCCATAGGGCTTTGCGTAGAAGACGGAGCGCCGCGCGCCGGTCGAGAGAAGTTGTTCGTTTGGTGTGTCAATGTTGGGGGAGAGACACTGTTGGTGAACTGAGAGTATGACGGCGTCGCGGGGGACTCTGGCGGCTGGTTCTGATGGCGCGTTTTCGCAATTGTGATACCCGAGCCGGATAAAGAGGAGGCTTCGCTTTCCGGCGAGTCGACTGCTCGAATGGGAGGGCGCGCGATGGATGGAGGCGGCGGCGGTCCTGAGCTTGGTGGTTGTGGTGGCGCCGCTCCCGGCAGCGGGGAAAAGCTGCCTGGAGCTCGTTGTGGGCGAGACATTCTGGCTGCAGAGCGTCAGAGAAATGTCACATGTTGGACGTCTAATTCGCAGGCCGTCCGTCGCACGAGGTGCCGGCTGGAGCTCGACTGAAGCTGACGGAAATTGGGAAAGATGAGGATGGCAAGGTAAAGTTGGAGTTGGAGCACTGCCCTCGATGGACCCTTGGCAAGCCATGGGCAGCTGAGCCGCATGGGGTAGAAGCATCCCTGCCACTGTGACGGTGACCGCCGCCTGGTGGATCTCAAAGCTCCAAGAAGAACCCCGCCATTCAAAAGGCAACAGAGCCAGTTTCGACTTCTTGCAAGCCTCATCACAGATCCGTCGTCTTCTACATTGAAACTCTGCCTTCCGTCAAACACAGTAAAATGTCGCAAGATTCGAAAATCGCATTGACGGCGACGTACGCCTCAGCCGTCAGCACCCCTTTCACCGTCTCCAAGCCTCTACCGACCCCATCATCATCATCATCCGCAACCACCGACAAGACGCAGTATCTACAATCTCTGCGCGAAGCCCTCATATCTACTCAAGCCGAGATCAATACCGAGCTCACACAACGAATGGAGGAAGACAATGGGCGCGCAGGGGGGAAGAGTGCTGCCGAAGTCAAAGAAGAGGAGAATTATGGCGAAGAAATTGTCGAGGAAGAGGACTGAAAGACCAAAAGAAAAGGCAAAAAAAGCAAAAACAAAAAAAAGGTGCTCAATGCGTATATACGGGGTATTTGCTCCTGCTGAAGACACCTTCCATGCGCTGGGTCGAACTGCCACTCAATCTACCATCACATCTGCTCGCTCAATGCAGCCAAACGCAGAACAACCAATCCATCTCAGCCCACGGCCTCAGAACCCACGACCCCAGCTCGGTGCTCTCGAGCTCTCTGGGCGCTGGCCAGGCACTCGACTCAGGCAACTATAATGGACGACTGTATTGTCCGGCAGCACCGCAACGACCGTACCGCCCATCCTCATGCCGCCGCCGAGTTTCTTGTGGCACACCACGCAATGTCTCTCATCCGTGATCGTCACATGCCTGTTCCGTCCACCTTGGCCTCCTTCTTGATCGTCGCCCAGATGCAGTCGCGCTGCCACGGAGATGCCCTCGGACTTGCGCAGGCCAGCAACAACGCGGGTCTGGTTCACAAGACTGTTGACTGCCCGTATGCGTCCACGGAAGTAGGCCTCGAGATCGCCGACGGGGATGTCGTCTGGGATCAGGCTGAGCGTGGAGGTCGCTGGCAAGCGAGAGCCATGCTTGGAGAGGAGATCGAGAGCTGGCGGCAAATCTGGCTTGTGGGATGATGGCGGTTGCAAGTACAACGACAAGAGGGTGTGGTAGATGGAAGGGGCACTGTCGTCGGGATCCTCGACGCTTGTGGGCGTATCCTGCGACAAAAGCACACGATTGCAGTAACTAGGTGTGGCATGTTAGCTCAGCTTCTGTGGCGTCTATAGCAGGAACCTACTCTTCCGCTTTCGCATAATCCTTCAGCTTGAAGACAAAGATTTCTAAAGCTTGTTTATGTTGACCCATGTTGCTCAACACAACGGCTTGCGACTCGTAGAAGATGGCGTCTGGTGTCGTTAGTAAATATCCATGAAGACTGGGAAAACGCCATATTTACCATCCCGGGGTATGAGACTGAATGCTTTGCTCAGACTGTACTGTTTCGACTCGCGAAGGAAGTTGAGGAAATTGTGCATGGTACGATCCCACTCTTCACCCTTCACCATGGTCGTCAAGTTGCGCACATATAATTGGACGAGTCGATTGTGAAACTCGGTTGTGTCGTCGCCAAGTTCATCGATAATGTGCGCCAGATACTGAGCTTCCAGTTGAGGATCTTGCTCTTTGAGAAAGGTCAGTACTCTCTCGCGCGGTAGCGTCTCCGCATTCTCCGTGTCGCCCACAAAGATCTCCATGGCGTAGCCCGCGTTTGCCTTGAGTGTCCACTTGGCATGTTCGAGAATCAGGTCAATGTTCTCGGGCGACAGTCCCTGGAGGTATTGTATGGCTCTATCGGGCCCATGCAGTGTAGGGGCCGCTGGGTCAGGTTTCGTCGCCGAGCCGAATTTCTTCAGAAGCTCAAGTGCCTCCTTGTGTAGTTTCTTCCCGTAGAAAAAGTCGATCAGCTCCATGTAGCGGTTTTGCTCAAGAAGACGTTCATTGACCACATCAGGGTCGCAGAAGTTGGGAATACGGAAGAGCGAGCCTGCCAAAGTCGGTCGGGAGAACATGTACGCTCGGAAAAGCGTCGTGTCGACCACGCGGAATGTCTTCCTCAAGGTCTCTTCCAGTTCCTTCTCTGTATCCGTGGGTGACGTCCGCAAGAAACGCTCCGCAGCATCTTCGAGACTGCCGTTGCTGTCGCTTCGCGGCTTCAGCTGGCCTGTGATCGGGTCAATGACGCGCTGTAGACGAGCGCGCGTCCCCGCCAGATAGCTGTTCAGCTCTAGCACGGCGTTTGTCAGATCCTTGCCCTCAAGAACAAGCGGATCCTGGCTTTCTGTGTCTTTAGCACTGGCCGACGAGTCGTCTGCTTCGGGCTCTTCCTTGGTCTCCTTCTTGGATGTGATGGAGGCAGCGTCAGAAGCCTTCTTATGCCCACCTCCAAAAAGCTTGGCGAAACTACCAATGTTTGGTGGTGATGATGGGTCTGCCGACCCCACTGGGCTATCTGACCTGGTTCCGTTTGTCTTTTTGGATGGAGTATCGTCCTGCTGCGGCGAGGCCTCCTCATGATCGGGGTATGCTGACAGCTCCCCTGAGATTCTCGGTGGGAACAGCCGCAAAACCCTTTCCGGCGGTGCATGGACGTCGTCTTCGTTAAAGAGGTCCATCGATTGCCGGAATTTCTTCTGTCTGAATAACGATTCCGCCTTGAGCATCTTGACCTCGCGGAGCGTTTCCGTCTTATTCTTCAGGAGGGCATCCTCAAGCATTCCTAGGACACTTATAGCTTCATCATATTGTGTGCTCCGTATCAGCTCTTGGATTTGCGAGTCATAGTCCGTTGTATCCATCTTCCATATACACCGATCGCTGGAGATGTGGAAGCCCTTTCCTGCATGGGCCAGACTGGACGTCGGGGGCGCAAAGTGAAGCTGAGACGCGCCCGGCAGGGAAATCGACTGCAACAAGGTCAATGTCTCCGGGTTGCGAACTTCGAGCGAGCCTTTCGAGGGCTGCAGAAGAGCAAGTATATATGGGTAGGAGTATCCGATGGACTCTGGCGCGGACTGCCAAGGGATCTGTTTCCGATCTAATGGCTTGCCCTTGTCGTCCACGAATAGGGTATTGATATCCTTGGCGAGTAGCATCTCCCCTTCTGCGAGTCGCGCGGCGAGTGGTTTCGGCATGTATCCTCCCAAGCCCATGTAGCCCATGCCAGCGCTACCTACGGCACCAAAGCGACTACCCTGGTTGCCTGCCTGCATTGTGCCGGGGCTCATAATCTCCTCAACGTCGTGCGATATGACATCGACCATGACATAGCCCCCGTTCATGCCACAGAGCAGCTTTGTCGCATTCGCCCACGTCACGGACCTGATTGTTTCCGAGAGACTGATCTCTGCGACTTGCTCGCTCAGCTCACTCTCATGCCATGACCATAGCAGGATCCTCCTCTTGACGGCGACAACCAGTCGACTGATAATTTCGGGAATGCCCGTCTCGGCATCTTTGACAATGTTCGAGGTGACGGCAAAGCAAGTCGCGTTCTTCGTTCGAGATAGAGTCTCGACCAATTCGTAGTTGTGCAGGTGGTGCAGTGAGACGTGGTAATTGGACAGCGAGACGATTGTGTTGGCTTCCTTGATAATGGCGAGCTGCTCGACCCCCCTGGTAGAGAACTTTTCTATTTCGCGCAGCAGATCCGTCGGCCGGGAAGGATTCGACCGCGACGTTGGCCTCTCGCCATTCTGTGGCGGACTAGCGACGACTTGTTCGTTCGGGCTTGGCTTCGAGTCGTCCGAGGGATGCAGGTCGTTCAGGCGATACACGCGCAGCGCACCGGTGTTCAATCCAACAAGAATACGATCGCCTTCCCGGTCAGCGCTCAATTCATTCAAGAAAGGAGGGGGCAACCTACCATGGGCAAGTATGGACTCGATCTTTGACTTGTCCCGCAGCCGCAGCTCGATGATGGGGCGGGCTGTGAACGCGGAGAGCATGGCGGCGGCGACCAGCTCCTACTGGTGTTACTATATCGACAGGAGGCCCATGAGCTCATAAGACTTTGCGAATGATCCTCGCAACAGCTCGTCAAACTGGTGCGCAGCGAGTGCGTGACGGTGAGTTGTTGGGTTGGTAGCTTCCATTGAACGTCACCGCGCCGACGTCAGTTAAGGCACCCCTGTCGCACAGTAGCACAGTGTGAGATCGCACCTCGAGATTTCTATCCGTACCACCTGAACGTAAGATACATGCCTACCGAGACCCATCGCCATTCTTCTCCCTATGTAATGCAAATGTTATGACAAGGGACGAATCTATAAGCACATGTAGGTTGCCACCATTTCGCATCCGGATTATCGACCCTCAGTCTATCCCAGCCACTTGCATGATTCCATAGCCCAAAGTAATGACCACCACCAATGTGATAATGCTGCTAGGAACACCCCTGCTGATGAAATGCTTGACTTGCAAGTACCTCTGCCCAGCAGGATCCTCCTTCATGATGGCGGCTGTCGACTGTTAGCAAAGCCCCGAGCCTCGACACGGGAGGGACCACTTACTCATATTAGGGAAACCACTGGTGGGCAGGCCCATGGCGGCGCTGCACATGAGAACACCACCAAAGACCAACAGATTCGGATGGGGCTGATCCATCGCGACTCCGACATCGTAGACCAAGGGCAGGAAGATCAGAGCGGCAACAGTGTGACTGATGAACGTGGCGACGACCAGGATCAGCACGGAGAACACAACCAGCACGCCATACAGACTCATCCCCTCGACCTTGTCCGAGACAAGCTCAGCAACAGTGTGCAGGAGCCCAGACGACCGGACAGCCTTGCCAAGCGACAGGCCACCAGCAGCGAGAATGATGATGGTCCACGGGAAGTTGTTGAAGTCCTCCTTGGTGAGGATGCCGATACCGAAGAAGAGCACAATGGGGATGATGGCAATCACTCCCATGTCGCCAAAGACACCCTCGAGCTGGTGGCTAGCACACCATAGGGCGATTGTGGCAATGGTGATGAATGACACAAAGTACTGCACACCAGTAAAGCTCTCCTTGACAGGTCGAATCGGCGAAATAGTAGTGCCTCGTCCGGGGTGGAAGGTGACGAGAAGAAGCAGCCAGATCAGAATCAGTGAAATGGCGCCGACTGGGATGACAATGAAGAACCATTGGAGCCAGGTGGGCTCCGGCTGCATGATACCCATGGCGACCACGTTTTGCGGCGAGGCAATGGGCGACAGCATACCGCCAATGTTGGAGGCCAGCGCGATGCCAATGATGACAGCCTTGGACATGCTCGAATCGGAGGGGAGGGTGCGCAACATGGGCTGAAAAAGTCAGCAAGAGTTCAAGCAACGGTTCCGTAAAAACATACCTCGATGATCGAGTAGCAAAGTACGGGAGCCGCAACATTGCTGATGAGCATGGAGGCAAAGGCAGCGACGAACATGTTCGCTACCAGCACCGTCTTCGGCTGCGTCCCAGCTTTGCTGAGGACCAGGGTCGCCAGCCGCTTGTCGATCTTGCACTTGGACAGTGCGGCTGCGAGGGTGAAGCCGCCGAGCAGTAGCATGATGACGGGCGTCCACATGGCCGCAAAGATGGCCGACGTAGCGTCCTTGGATGAGAGGCGTTTAGGTGGCTTGGTGGGATCCTCCTCTCGCACCACGTTGAGCAGCACCGACAGGAACGGGATGAGCAGGGACGTGACGAAGAGGGGTATTGTTTCCGTTGCCCACAGCAGACTGACCAAAACCAGCATGGCCAGACAATTCTGCTGCTCAGCCTTCTCCATGATGGGCAGGTAGAGAAGCACGAAAAAGACCGCCAAGGAGCCAAGGAGAGTGTACATGGACGAGTTGAGCAGCCACGCGGGCACCCTGAAACGACCAATGGGTGTGCTAATGCCCTTGGTCTCGGCTTGGGCCTCGTCGCCTTGCAGTCTCCTCGCCGTCGCATTCGGGTCAGAGCCAAGAAGAGACTGTCCGAGTCGCGCCGCTTCCGCCCTGCGCTCGATACCAATGAGGTCGCGCCAGACCGTGTTGCGCTCCCATACGACGTGCTCTCGCAGATGCGACCGCAGATCCCTCTTTGCGGCCTCTCGATCGCCTTGCGTGACGACCTCGGTGTATGCCGCCTCCATCTTCTCAATGTTGTGCTCGAGGGCCTCCTTGGTCTCGTCTTTGAAGGGGTAGGAAGCGTCCACGTGCTCGGGGACGTATGTGGCCTTGAGGTCCTTGTCGACAATTTTATCAAACTTTTTGAGCACCTTTCTGAAACCAGTGCGGTTGAGCTGAACGTATGATTTGAGCTCGCACAGCTGGACGTAGAGGCTGATGATGCGCTTCTTCAGCATAATGTCGGAGGAGTAGACTCCAGAGGGGAACAGGGCGGACTGTTCGCCGTAGTCGTCGACGGTAGTGCTTCGCCTGCGTATGGAACGCGCGAACTCTGACGAGGCCGTCAGGTCCTGCCCCTGGCCCCCTGTGGTACTGGCAATTGTTCTCCTCCTCCCAAAGCTATGCTTACGAGGCCGCGTCAGGCCGGTCGTTTCGTCGTCGTCGCTAGCACTTTCCTCGACATCGTCATCCGAAATAAGGCCACTTGAGCTCATCTGCCGGGCCAAGCTTGGCCTCCTCAGCCCGTTTGAAGTGGTCGGTTGGAGTGCATTGGTGGTTGTTCCATCTGGGACGACGCGTTGCGAGATGTCGTGCAGTAGCTGGTTGACCTCATCGCGCAGCTCGCCCTCCTTGGCATTGTAGAAGGAGCATATCTTCTCCAGTTCGATGCCCAATGCTCTGCTGAAGACTTCCTCGGGGTCTTCCGTCGATATTAACGGTCGAGACTCGCCATCGCCAGCGAGTCCTTGATGAGCGGTCTTTTCAAGCTGGTATATCCTGCGATGGGTCAGCACGGGCCAAGTAATTCCTCCGGGACAAGATGACGAACAGTTTCTTCAAGTTGCTGTACGCAATGTAGTGACTACTCCAGTCCGGTACAGCATTGAATTGGATACTGTGTGAGAACTTCATCTCGTCCTGTTCTTCGAGCCACGCCCGCTTGTCTTTCTTCTTCTCTTCGCGCCGTCGCTCGGCCTCGTCAGCGTCTTCTCGCGCTTCAATTGCGCGGTAGTTGTCTAATTCGTAGGAGAGTTGATCGGGGGGTGGATGGGACACTGGAGCCGCATTCCCTCCTCGTTCGCTCGGGTGGTTCGAGGAGCGGGTGCCGGCAAACGTGGCTGGACCTGCGTCGTCGTCGTTGTCAGGAACAGAGGAGGGATTCCTAGAGACAGCCGGGGATGAAATGGTGGCTCGTGGAATCACTAGCTACCTTACGAACAACATGTAGACATTTGGATCGACTTTTGAGTTCAACGCAGAGTAAGGCGGATAGCGGTATGCGCCATGACACAGCGCGTGGGGCTTGTGTGGGTGCAGAGGGAAAGGTCATGCGCCGCCGTGATCCTCGTGCCTTGCCCTCAGTGTTGCCTCAAATTGAAGGCCACCAACTGGAAAGGCTACCTGAAGAAAAGCCACCCGCCGGCGACAGCGAACAGTGCGCCAGCCATTAACAGTTCACCTATCAAACCGTCTGTTTGGAGCACGTTTTAAGTCACATGCCATATTTTTTTAATTCATTTTGGAGGCCACAGTTCCCCAGAATCTCCTGTAAGTCAGTCACGCGTCTCGCCTGCCGCGATCAGCTCCTCATGACACTCCGGGTCGACGATCTGGCCATCATCTTTTACGAAGACCACATCGGCTCTTCGAGCGATGTGTAAATTGTGCGCGATTGCAATGACTATTATACCTCGTGCCGCCTGTTCGAGGCGCTCTTGAAAGAGCCTTTCGCTCTCGGCATCCAGGGCGCTGGTACTCTGGTCGAGCAGCAGCAGACGCGGTTCGCGCATCAAGGCATTCGCAATGGCCAATCCCTGACGCTTCCTTCCCGCCAGGCATGAGCTATTGGGGCCATGCTCTGCATCGTAGTCGTCAGGTACAGACAGGATGAGCTCGTGAATGCTGGCGAGCTTGCAAACGTCCTCGATTCCTGACTGGGTTGCTTTACAATCCCTCCTGGCGCTCCAGCCGACGCTGGATTTTTCGTTCTGTTGAACAGGGACAATCCACGGCAATGTCGTTGCGGAACTTGTCCCTCTCGCAGCTGCTGACATCGACGCGGTCTATGTCCACTGTGCCGCTGGCCGGCGTGTACGTACGCAGCACAAGGGACGTGATGGTCGACTTGTCAGCGCCAGGAGGGCTGATGAGACCACACAACTGCCATTCCTTGACGGTGAGCGACAGCCCTTTTAGGGTTAAGATACGAGTCCTTGCTCACGAGTCCTTTTACTTCACCTTCGATGTCCTGGCAACGACATCGCCTGGAAGAGTTGGGACTCTTTCACGGACATTTTCTTCACGGAGCCGTTGTCGAGAAGACTCAAGATCCTCAAGGCAGCGCATTTGGCTTTGGGTTACTCTGGAGCAAGCGCAAACATTTGGCCCAAAGCTGTGCGCTCACAAGCATAGAGACAAGGACGATGCAGAATGAAGTTTGGGCCGCCCCCCTCTTGGTGATCTTTGTGGATCCTCGCCAATAAGCAAAAGAATATACGGGTTTGCCTGGGTGCTGAGGCACGCAAGCCAGATGCTGGTGTAAGCACTCACCATGGCCATTCCCTTCTAAGGTGCCTTTAGCGATACCCGGTCGTGACCCCTCCTACAGTGAGAGCGACGAGACGGTCTCGAATGGGTTGTACTCTTCGACTCCGATGCCGACATCATCGGAGAACGGGACAGCTTATTTGCGCTCAAGGTTGCTCAGCGCCTGGAGCGGCATGGTACAGGCCCGCACAAGCACCGATATGAGGCAGACAATGACATGGTACATTTGATAATGTAGCACATGTAGGCGATGAGGGAGCTTACCACAATGAGGAGGCCGTACCCATGATGTGGCCGGTTACGGAGTCCATGCCAGCGCGGTGATCGCAGACAGCAGCGTCCCATCGGACTGGCGCTATTCCGACGACCCTTGCTCGTACAGCGAACGGGTCGGTGGTATTGGAGAGCTGCTTGTCATTCCTGCACACGGAAACACAGCTGCTCTCGTTGTCCATGATCGCAGTAATTTGCCGACTGCCAAGCCAAAACACGAGGGGTATTGGCGGAACACGCAATACGCACGGGGTGCCAGCTTGGAGAGCGGCTAAAGGCCTCGTTGATACCTTACTTCCACGCCCTAAAGCCTGTCGGAGGTGCTAGTCTTCCGCCTCCGATTAGTCACTGCGCAAGCACCTATCTTTCCAGGATTGCCTCTAAGCCAAGGTGAGTTGGATGGCCTCGCATCCTCCGAAATGCACGCTTAATGGATGTGGAGTCCGGGGTGGATTTTATCAATCTTATCCATCTCTCGCCATGCGCAGCAGACTGTGGAAAATCACGCACTCGCTGCTTGGCCTGGAGATCTCTCGGAAGGATGCGAGTTTCAGGTTCGTGTTACGTACTTTTGTCTAATAAGCTCGTAAAGGACATTTGGGAGTACATGACTCGTGCTCTGAGAATGCGCACTAGGAAAATATTATCAATCTGATAATAAGACCATCCGGCGCCGACGCGGATGGTGGGGGACGGATCAGATAAGTCGGTGAGCCGGATATCCGACATAAGCCGCATGAGCTGGTTGCCCGTTGTCGGAAGGGATATATCTACAGAGCCACGCACATTGCAGACAAATATTCCGGCTCTTTGTCCTTTGCTCACATGCCACGCTTCCCCTTCTCTTTCCCACGGCTCTTCGTTGCCCAGTCGAGTCCTGCATTTGCCTTGACGAGCCCACGATCCTGCTGTGTGCCCCGGCTTCCTTCTTCAAAGGTCAAAATTTGTTCTGGGCATCAAAATTCCACATTCAAACGACTCTGTCATACTGCCAAGATGAGCCCTATCCAAGCGCATCCGCCTGTGCGCGTCTTCATCGCCGGTGGCTCGTACGCTGGCCTCTCGAGCGCACTCAACCTCCTCGACATCGCCGAGGGGCTCACACCGCGGGTCGCGCGCGAGCCCCATGTGCACCACCCAGATCTTCCCAAGTTCGACATTGAGATCACCGTGGTGGACGAGCGTGATGGCTTCTGTATGTTCAAGAAAGTCTGCCACAGTATATCGTGCACGTTTATTCTGACCGGCTCCAGACCACCTTATCGGCACACCTCTGGCCCTCTGCGACGCCGAATACTCGAAGAAGGCGTGGGTTAAGTTTAGTGACGTTCCCTCCCTTGACCATCCCAGCATCAAGGTCTTGCAGGGCAGTGTGACGCACGTGGACTGCGAGACCAAGAAGGCCACCGTGGTCGACCACGCTTCGAAGGAGGCGGCCATGTACGAGTACGACTACTTCATCGCCGCCTCTGGTCTGCGCCGCGTGTGGCCCGTGGCCCCTCGTGCCTTGACGAGGAAGCAGTACCTCATTGAGGCGAGCGAGCTCATTCACACGGTGGACAATGCGAAAGACGGAGTCGTTGTCGTTGGAGGAGGCGCTGTAGGGATCGAGGTGGCTGCGGAGCTGAAGCTCGTCAAGCCGCACGTCAATGTGACACTAGTTCACTCGCGCGACAAGCTGCTGTCGTCGGAAGGGCTGTCAGAGGAGTGCAAGGATAAGGCGCTGGAACTGCTGCTCGAGAGTGGCGTCGAGGTCCTCATGGGCCACCGCTTGAAGGAGTCGAAGCCGGTCGACAATGGAGACGGCGCACCACGGTTCGAGATCCTGTTTACGAATGGCAAGACCATGGTCGCGAGCGAGGTGATCATGGCCATTTCCAAGAGTGTGCCAACGACCACGTACCTCCCCACGTCTGCGCTGGATGAGGAGGGTCTCGTCAAGATCAGGCCCAAGTAAGTCCATTCTCTCTCTCCAGGTATATCTAGAATGACAATCCGCTAACAACTACACAGCCTGAAGCTCCCCCAGGAGACGCCCAACTCGGAGTACCACTTTTGCGCGGGCGACGCCGTCCTATGGTCTGGTATCAAGCGCTGCGGTGGCGCCATGTACATGGGCTGGATCTCGGCCAATAACATCCACCAGTCCATCTTGCGGGATTTTGTCGGCCACAAGCCCAAGTTCTTTGAGATGCAGCCGACGCCCCCCATGATCGGCCTCGCCGTGGGCAAGCAGGCCGTGTCGTACGGGCCCGAGGTCGGCACGGCGTGGGGCGAGGACGTGATGCAGGCGTACTTCAACAACGACCTGGGCTTTGACATTTGCTGGAACTACATGCAGCTTTCTGGGCGCAAGGACGAGGTCAAGGTATGAATAGAATCTCTGGGAGGAGAGGCTGTTCTTTGGTCATTTGGCGTTGGGCATAGCGTTTTCGCGTAGACCAGTTCGGTACACGCACCTTTGGGGCAGTCTAAGCTTCAAGTACATTGTGGAATAGAAATGACATCTAGTACCTCGCGCGGTCTTGATTCTCAAGTGTGATCTGTCCCTTTTCGCAGCAGTTGGTCCTTCGGGTGGAGTGAGTTATCTGATTTGATCCGAGGCTTTGTCAGTTTGGTCAATCTGAATCTCGTCGCCCGGATGGATGGATCGGACTCGGTCCACAACAAACCCCAGCCACTGACGCGTCGACGCCACCAAAAGCTTGTATGCTTAATATCCGGCGAGAAAGACTTTGCGGGTGGGACTCCTGGGTCCTAAAGCACAGACACAACGCCTTGATTCCTTGTCCATCCGAAGCATCTTCTAGTCTGGTTGCAGTCGCTCCAAAGCAGACGAGCCCGTGGTCACTTCATGTAGGAGAAATTGCCTCAAATCGCTCTCTGATGGCTACATGTATAGTAAACTTAACAGCTGCCTGGCGAAGGATCCAGTCCCTTGGAAGTTGGATGGGACTCCCCACACCGGAGCAGATTTTGCCGGATCTTATCGATCTGATTTGATAGATCCCGGCGCAGGGATCCAAGACGCCAATACCACTACGCAAGTTGGTACGTACGTAGCCATCTCGCCTGGCCGGCCGCAGGATCTGATAAAATCTTTGCCTTCTGATAGTTCTGCTTGGCACGATGCTGCCACTGCTGCCCCCCATCCGGGAGAAGAGAGGGAAGAGGGATCTCAGAGACTCAGAGGTATCTTGATCCAACGTCAGCATCCAGCGCTTTGACCCAACAACTCTGCCCGCGAGCAGTCTCGTTGGCCAGCCAGACATGGGAGGCCATCCTAGATCCACGGCAAACCTTTTTCCCCTTGGCTCAGTCCAGAATTAGCCGAGTCCTCCCGACGTTCGCTTGACTACTATCCCTTGGCCCTTGACTGTACGCCATCTCCAGGGACCAATGATCCGCGAGTCCTCTTGTGGCGAAGAACATCTCCTCAGCAACATGAGGACTGTTCAAGATGCGTGGCGCTTGTGGGAACTGACAAGCGGCCTCCATCCAGACTACGGCCTCCATCCAGACTACCGCCTGCAAGTCAATCGGTGGGTGCAGTCTTGGACGCATGGAGTATGCCTTCCAGACTTGTTCGGGGATGTCCTAGCCGCCCAGATTCGGGGAATATCCTCAGTTTTCAAACATGGCTTCACCGAGGTGCCATGCTTCATGGAAAACTAGGCTGCCTCCGTCTCTTGGCCGATCCCTGTTCAGCCATGCGATGCAATTCGGGGACCTGCACGTGCAAAAGGAATGCATATAATACTCGTTGACGGGGCCATATAGGAAGCCATGTGCACCTCTTGGGTTCTTCTCGTTGATTTCTTTCCTTCATCTCCTCCTGCACCTGTCTTTCTCGGACACCTCCCACCAGAGAGACCTCTCTCGCCAGCCCTCATCGACGTCTGGCCAGCCTGCAACATGTCCACCATACTTGAGCCCAACGAGGCGCTCGCGCACACGGAGGCCCGTCGCGAGCGCAGCAGCAGCAACAGCAACATTGGCACCGACAAAAAGGAGGCTACCTACACCGACACGGGCGCCGAGGCCGCGCGGCGTGACCCTGCGGACGACACAGACCACGAGGCGATCGACAAGGAAGCCCAAGCGGGCGTGCAGAATATTGAGGCCACAACGACAGTGTGGTCCAAAAAGGCCCTCATCTTCGCCTACGTCTGGATCTGGGTCATCTACTTTGTCAACACCATGCAGCAGGGCGCCACCGGCGCCCTCACGCCCTATGTCACGTCAGCCTTCCAGGAGCACTCGCTCACGCCCACCGTCAGCATCATGAGCAACATAATCGGGGGCGTCTCCAAGCTGGTCATTGCCAAGATCCTCGACGTCGTCGGCCGTCCCACGGGCTACCTCGTCACGCTCCTCCTCATGACCGTCGGCCTCATCATGATGGCCGCCTGCAATAGTGTCGAGATGTACGCCGCCGCCCAGGTCTTCTACTGGGTCGGCTACAACGGCATCAGCTTCACCCTCAGCGTCTTCATCGCCGATACGTCCCACCTCAAGAACCGAGGCCTCATGCTCGCCTACGTCGCCTCGCCCTACATCATCACCACCTGGCTGTCCGGTCCCATCTCCGAGGCCTTTCTCGACGGGCCCGGCTTCCGCTGGGGCTTTGGCGTCTTCTCCATCCTCACGCCCGTCTTCACCCTGCCTCTCTGGGGTCTCTTTGTCTACTACGCCCGCGTCGCCAAGAGCCGCGGTCTGATCAAGGAGCGAGAGTCCGGCCGCACGAGGCCCCAGTCCGTCCTCCACTACCTCCGCGAGTTTGACGTGGTCGGCCTCGTTCTCATCATCGCCGGCCTGGGCCTCTTCCTGCTCTCCTTCAACATTCAGCCGCGGCAGTCCGCGGGCTGGGAGGCCCCCATTGTACTGGTCTTCCTCCTCGTCGGTCTCCTCCTGCTCGTCGCCTTTGGTGTGTGGGAAAAGTTCTTTGCGCCCGTCAAGTTCATGCCGTTCGAGCTGCTGACGGACCGCACCGTCGCGGGCGCCTGTCTCATGGCCGCCACGCTCTTTGTCAGCTTCTACATCTGGAACTCGTACTTTTACTCCTTCCTCCAGGCCGTCAACGGACTCACCGTGACCGAAGCCAGCTACGTGGCCCAGATCTACAGCATCGGCTCCTGCTTCTGGTCCTTTGCCGTTGGCTACGCCATCCGACGCACGGGGCGCTTCAAGTGGGTAGCCCTGTACTTTGGCGTGCCCATCACCATTCTCGGCGCCGGCCTCATGATCCAGTTCCGCCAGCCGCACGTGAACATTGGCTATATTGTCATGTGCCAGATCTTCATCGCCTTTGGGGGCGGCGCCGTCGTCATCACCCAGCAGATCGCCGTCATGGCCGTCACCGCCCACCAGCACGTCGCCGTCGTCCTCGCCGTCGAGAGCATGTTCACCAGCATCGGCGGCGCCATTGGGCAGACCGTCTCCTCCGCCATCTGGCAGCACGTCTTCCCCCGCGCTCTGGGCAGGCGTTTGCCCGACGACACCAAGGACCAGGCCATGGCCATTTACGGCAGCCTGGAGGTGCAGCTCGACTACCCCCTGGACAGCCCTACGCGCATCGCCATCCAGGATTCGTACGGCGAGGCCGTGCGGTATATGCTGATTGCGGCCACGTCTGTTCTCGTGCTGGCCATTGCTGGTGTCGCCATGTGGAGGGACGTCAATGTCAAGGACAAGAAGCAGGTCAAGGGTCTGGTCGTCTGATGGGGAAAAGACACTCGGCAGTACTGCACAATGTGTAATGTAATCAAGAGCAGTGGCTCTATACTTGCTCATGCCCAGACCATCAGAGCTTTCTATGCAATATGTCATTCGTACGTACCCTGCCTATATTTCAGTCTCGCCAGTCTCGCCATGTTCCAAACATGACCTCCAAGATACACCTAGAACTCCCCATCCACATCACCTCCAAAAACAATGCCCGAGAAGCTGTGGAAGACGTGGCCATGTGCTCGTCGTCCAACCGTGGTGGGTATCATATGCTCGTAACGTCCGTATTAATGCACCAACAGCAGCACCATATAGCCAGCGCCGGCTTCTCGAAGCCGACCACGTGGTGTGAAGGAATCCTAAACCGTGTAACAAACAGGTCCCCGTGGCCGTCGCCCGGCCGCTGCTAGCCCGCCATGGTCGGCCTGGACCCCCCCGGTGCTTCCACATGGGTGCCCAGCCCCAAGGCGCGAGACAGACTCTGCCGAACACCCTTGCCGGCGCGCGCCTCGGCCGTCCTATCGCGTGACAGCAAGCCCGTCAAGCTCTTGCGCCGCTCACCCGCTTCGATCGGCCCAGTCGATGCTCTTTGCGGAAAGTCATTGGGGATGGCGGGACGAGGGGGCCACTCGCCGTCGCGCTTCCAGCCCATGACAAGTGCGTTGATGGTGTCGGATAGATTTACGGGACACGCTGGCTGCTGATTGTCGAGTATGCACTTGTCGTACAGTTTTAGGTAGTTGTCTGGCTGGATGCCCGCCCGCAGCAGACATTGCGGTGGGAGAATGGGTGCTGCCACGGGCACAATGGTCTCTACTGGGTACCGCCCGTGCTCCAACGAGCCCGAGTTGGACGTCTTGCTGGTGTCATTCTCTGATTCTCTCGGCGGTGATCGCTCCACCCGGGCGGAGGATGATGCACCCGGCTGGTTGATTGTGCCAGCGGACGACGTCGACGAGACAGAACGGCGGAAGAACCGCCGACGCGACGAGCGTTGGCTCGCGGGCGATGAAGAGTTTGTCGGTGTCTCCGGCTTGGGGCGCAGCTGAACGACCCTCGCCTCTGTCCATGCGTTGCGTCGCGCTTCAAAGCAGGCGAGCCCAGGGTTCCACTCCATCTCCTTGCGCAAATCTCGCCTCTGCTGTGTCCTGCGCCTGGCTTTCGTCTCGTCCTCGTCTAGGCCCGCTGTGTTTGCGCGAGCTGTGGGAGGCAGCGCGTCTTCGTCGACCGCATAGTCCGAGTCCCACTCGATGCGAGGCTTGTAGCGTGTGGGATCGTCCGAGACGATGCTGTACACCGAGCGTGCGTCGTCGCTGTCGTGGTCCATGTCAAGATCTAAATTGATGTCGTCATCGGGGTCGGTATCGACCTCGTATCCATCGTCTTCGTGCGTCTCGTCCTGGACATTGGCAGGATCTCGCTGCTCGAGTCGCTCAGGTAGGGGTGGTGCGGCGGTGGCTGCTGCGTCTGTCCTCGTCGTGGGCTCACTTCGCTCCTCGGGTGACCACGTGAAGCTCCAATCGTCGCGCACGCGGCTCGCCACGTATTTCTTGACGGCGGCCTTCAATTTCACCTTGTCGCGCGAGAAGAGGTCGGCGTACTCGGGCGCATCCCATCCGGAGGAAGAGGTCGACATGGTGGGGGGGCCCTGCCCGGGCTTGTGGTGTCGTAGCTTGGCGAGCGGCGAGCGATGTGTTTTGTAGAACATGTTGGAAAAAAGCATGATGCGGGCGCGGTACGTCTACTCCTACTAAAAGCAGCGGTGGGGTATCGTGGACGGGGTCGTCGAAAGAGGAGTCGACGATGCCGCAGTTTGCGCGCGGATGAGTGTGGGTAAGGCAGGGCAGGCCCAGGGTACTCGATACCTGACGTGACGATGATGACGATGGTGCACGCGCGCACGTCCTGTAGAGCCCTACCGTTCGAGCGGCGCCTTGGTCTCGCTGTCGAGGGCAGGTAGGGACGGTCTTGACCGGTACTCGCAAATGAGGTACATTCGTCGTAGATGCGAAAGGGAAGATGTTTGCTGGCAGGCGGGCGACGAGGGGATCCAGTAGCAAGGTTGGAGGGCAGGCGAAGGCAAAAAGCGACCAAGCCCAAGCCCAGGTCCAGGTCCAGGTTCAGTCTCCTAGGAGGCACTCCAGTCACAAATGGGGGATCCGTGAGTGGCTCGGCAGACCAGCCGAGCCCAGGCCCTCGATTGGCAGAAGACTGACTGTCGGTGACTTGTGAACTTCATCGGTGGAGGACAGAGACAGCCCGTATTGAGGAGGTTTCGTCCCTACTAAGTCTAGCAGCATGCTGCTTATCTGCTTGGGGCTAAGCGCTTCTGCGCCTGTGCTCAACTAGGTACACGTATGCACAAGTCTCGAAGCGGGTGGGTACCTACCTCATAATCGAGTGATCATGACGAAGAGCATCTCTCGTCATCCAAGCTGAACTACGAGTCTACGACACAGTCCGGTGAAGCCAATTCTGCTTCTTCCTCGTAAAAAGTGTGCCGTGAGAGAAACGAAGCAACACTGTCCGTCTGTCCAATTCTGCACAAATTCAAACACAGCAAGCCGCCCTGGCTGCTGCAGATCCCCCAACAGTGGCGATTGGCGGAATAGACCCCCTGCTCCTGGAGACTGGAGCGTCGCGGCAATCGGGGTACGATCTGCGGATTGGGAATATCGTCATCGCTTGGGCCCCGTCCCTCCATTCTGAGTGAGGCTATCATGACTTTTGTTGACATGCCACTTTCCCACATGAATCGTGTGCCGTGACTGCCCATGCCAGCCAGTGTAAGCAGAATCTAGACAGCTCTAGATCGGCTAGCTGAAGGATAGGTGCGCACCACATGCAGGACCGCAGCCGTGTTCGCCTCCTCCCCCCCTTTTGGTCGATGATCGGGCCGGAACCCAATACCTCGCTGGATGGAGGAGGTAGCGGTGCAGACGACAGAAGAATGCATGCAGTCCCTAAAAGTGCGGGGAGGGAGGCATGCCCAATGCAACCCCCCCGACTGGCGCACTCTCCATTGCATCGGGTCCCTCAGCCAGCTGAATTAGGGTAGGTGCGCGACGGCCGTCCCTGTGATACGCCCAAGGAGGTACATCATGCTTATTGGCCAGATGCGTCAAGGCGCTTGTGAGAGAGGGATGCGTAACAGGGAAAATCGACATGCTTCACCGAGTATTGTTTGGTGAGAATCGCACAACACCTCCGTATGTGACCTCTGCGCGTCGACATGTGATGGAATGTCAGACTTCAGCCCTTTGTGCGACTAGCAGTTAAACCTGCCGAGTGTCATACCAAAGGACACATCTAGTCAGTTATTACGACACGGGTCATTCTCCACATGAAGTTAACAGAGCCACGCACTATTGTTCTGCTGCAATTGCAGGGTAGGCAACACCGGTAGGTCAACATCATTCTTCATCACCATCACCACGCACGCAGGCACAGCGTGTCGGCATACTGACTCGTTCAATTCAACAACGACCACCAGACATCAACACTCCCACTTCCAATACCTCCTCCCTTCAGCGAGTACCATTGCAAAATCCCCATTGTGTACCGTCCATCCGCAGTCCCCATCTTCGCCTCCCTATGAAACTCAAAAGAAGCTCAGGGTATCAAAGAAAGCAATGTAAACCAAGCATAGTCGTTAAAAAAAAAAAGAAAAAAAAAAAAAAGCAGAAATCAGAGAGAAAAGGATAAACAATCATGAGAACCATGCCGCAAAGTATCCTCGCTGCCCCCTTGCTGTTCATCTCACAATGAAAAAAAGAGGTATATCATAACGTCGTAACAGCAAATGCTGACCCAAACCAAAAGAGAGCATAGATAATGCAAGGACCCGCCGCAAGAATTCCGTCTAGAAAGCATATCCCAACTGTCGCCGGAGACGGTGTGTCGCAAAAAAAAGAGGGTGACAATAGCCAACGTCGCAAGTGGTATTTGTTGAAAAGGGTGTGCGGCCGACAACCAAAGTATTAATGGGATAGCGTGTCGGATGGCGATGGATTTGCCAAGACCACTCTCTAGTAGGCAGCGGTGGCCGCGCCTTCTCCGGTAGCCACGGCTACCAGGGCCTCCAGTCGACCAAGGGAATTATTCGTGCTGGATGAGCCCTCCTGCTGGTGATGGTGAGGCGGCTGCTGCTGCTGGTGTCCAGAGGGCTGCTGGTCTCCGGCCGGGAAGACACTGAAGCCAGTGAAGTTGGGATGGACCATTCTGTCGACGCGACTAGCACGCGGCTCTTGATCCATGCGTTCTTCACGATGCGTCGCCATGGGCCCATTGTACCATCCGCGACGCTTCGACTCCCGCGCGGCCGAGACGTTGGGCGCCGACATGGTATGGTAGTGCATGCCCTGGGTTCCCGGGTGAGGGTACGATGTCGGGGGCTGAGCGTCGAATCGGACAACGGGAGCATTCATCCTGGCGTTGTCCATCTGCGCCTGTTGCACAGCGCGGTTGGCCTCCGAAGCCCACGCACCAGCACCGTCTCGCGGCGGCGTGTGCGGATCAATATCCAGCCGGTTCAGCCCGCGCTGGAGACTGGCATCGTAGGCGTTGAGGTTGCGCCTCTCATCTTCGTGGTGAATGGCTTGCAGGGTCGGAGGACGTGGGTGAGTGTCGACCATCATGGGCGATGGCTGTCGGCGAGGCGGCGTGGTCGACGTACGCTGCGCACCTGGCTGATCAAACGACTCGATCCCCGGTAGTTGCAAGTTCGACTTGGTGGTGGCGGGGTCCATGACCATTGGGGGCCGTGGTTCTGGGCCTGTCATGGTCTGGCTCGCTACGCTGCTCAGTTGACTTTGATGCCCGACATGGCCATATACACGGCTATCCGGATGCCAGGTTCGCCTGCGCCAGTCCTCCGCAGAGCTCGACACAGAGTCGCGACGCCCAGACCATCCGGATGCGTTGGAAATGGTAGGAGACGCGGCCATGTTGTTGGAAGCCGGAGAGAAAGCTCCACTGTTGGAGCTGTTCATGGAGCCGGCACCGCTGAACACTGGTCGGCCGGGAACCTGTCCCTGCATCGCTTGAAACGTGGCCGACGGGACGCTCAGTCGACGGCTGGGCGTGTACATGCTCTGGGAGCGAGAGTGAGATGGCCTTGGTGAGCCCATCCCAGACGCCCACTGGGGACTGCTGTGGCCCGTCGAGAAAGTGGCCGATGTCGGTGTGCTATATTCGGTGGGTGAGGGCTGGCGGCCGTACTGGTACAGGCCCTCGGCCTGCCTATACGGATCCATAGGTCTCGAGCGGGGATCAGCGACGATCAGAGGTGGCGGCCTTCGACGCGAATCGACCGTCGTCGTGTAGTTGGAGTTGATGGAGCTTATACTGTTGATGCTGGACGTGGAGAGGCTCTTGGAGTGTCCCCTGGGCGGCCCGCCAGCGCTGCCAGCCGTCGATGCTCTGGCGCGGTTACCCGCTTGACGCACCCGTTCCGTCCTCATCTGCCGCTGGAATCTCGAGCCTGTGGCGGCAAGCGAGTTGATGGGGATATCCTCGTTTACGTGTACCGTCTGGGCGTGCTGCCGCAAGTTGTCGAGGCGCGAGAAGCGGCGTGAGCAGTGGCACTGAAACGGCCTCTCACCAGTATGTTTCCTGCGACCATCAGCGTACTGAGAGGTTTAACAGCGCCTCCCAAGTGAGTAGAACGAACCTGATGTGCCTCGCTAGATGCTCACTTCGTGTGAAGCTCAGCTTGCAAGGTGGATAATCGGTGCAGTAGAAGCGCTGCGACTTTTTCTTCTTGCCCGTGCGAACGCCATCTGCGTCGACACTTTCATCGTCCGAGCCGTCGTCCGAGCCTTGTTGCTCGCCATCCGACTCATCCAGATCCATCTCTGCCGAATCTCGTTGCCGCGACTGTCTGGATCGGTCGGTCTCGCCGGATGTGCGGCTGTGCGCGGAGTGCGGGAACGGACTCGAGGGCAACGGTCGCTGACCAGCTATCGCAGGACTAAAAGTCTCCCTCGTAGGTGTTACACCATCGTCGTCCATCGAGTCCATCGCGGCTTTTGTCGCTGTGTGCGGAGCGGTGCTCGGTTGGGGCGTTGGGGTCGCTGATGATGATGGCGTCATGATGCTTCTGCTGTTGGTGGCCGCCTCAGAGGCGAGGGGCGAGTTCACCGGTCGGAACGCCGCGGCCATGGGGACCGAAGCGAGTTCGAAATGGGCGCCGAGAGGGTACTGATGACGGCGACGAAGTATCCGTTGTCGAGATGGTCGGTAATTTTGCACTCGTTCGGGCGTGCAGTCGTGGGCGCACCGACCCGAGCCCTGGTAGTGATGTGGTGGATAGGTAAGCGCCGGAGGAAGGATGGGGCTGGGATATCTGCTGTGTAGTAAACCCCGGGTAACAGGCAAAATGCCGAAGGATGCGGGTATTCGAGGACCCGACAAGTATGGCGTGGGCGCTTCGAGTTTAAAAAACTATCGAGTCAAAAGGATATGGATGGCCTGCAGGAACCACAGCGACGTCTGGCTATTCGATGCGGGAGTACAAGTCGGAGGGGAGGCGGCGAGCACGAAGGGGGAATGACTGCTGGAGGTAGGGATAGCAGACAGGTAATAAGTGGTAATCCAGGCACGGAAGGTGGGCTGGCGGGTTGTTGGTTGAAGCACTGCAAAGCCCATGAGAAAGGGGGGGGGCGTGTAATTGTGAATAATGGATGGATGGATGGATGGATACGTGGACGGAGGACTGACTGGAGGACTGGAACCAGGTCTCAAGTCACTCCAGCCGACGCAGGCACCAGTTCCTCGTTCGCTGTCCGCCGAACACTGAATTTGCAAGCCAGTTAAAAGGTGGTGGCCATGAGTGCCATGTCAGACAGGCTGGGACCGGAGACAGACAGTGAGTGACATGGACTCCATCATGTGCCTGCCGTGCCAAGCCAACGAAAGCCAGATGGAAAGGGCGTCCCCTCGATCTTGAAAACAGGGCCCGCACTAACGGTCCGTAGCTTGGACCGCAATGATCTGATCCGAGTCTTTAAAAGCCTGGCCTGCACTGGGCTGAAGCAGAGTTTCTTCGGGTATCCGTAAGGAGTATTCCAGTCATACCTGACCTTGCACTGCCAAGCCTCTACCAGCCCGCCTGGCCCTGCCAGCCCGCTCGGCCTCAGTAAACGGCCATCTAATTACTTTACTGAAAACGCCCAACTCCATTCTCTGTATCCGCACGGAGTATTGTTGTTGATTATCGATTGTCTGCCCGTCAGTCGAATGCGCCAGTGCAGGAGTCCCGGATGCGGGCTGCATATCATCTGCGACCGGCCAATCAGCCCGTTTGCGTTCACTGTGGTTGGCGGCAGGGCGAAGCTGGTGAGTGGTGGTGCCTGCCCGCCTGCCCGCCGGGCGCTGTGAGACAGCGCCCAAGACATGATGAAAGGAAATGCGAAATGGCCCGAACCGCTGATTGCAGTATCCATGTCATTAGGGGGGCATGCTCTATACTGGCTCCAGTCTGTCAGGTACGATGAAGCCAGGCCGTACATGGTGGCCACAGGGTCGCGCAAGTGATAGGCAAGGTATTACATGTATGCTGGCGTCTGGTGATAGCTCATCGTCATCCATGCCTCCGCCGCACGAGAAGTATGATGCGAGGCTCGTGGCCGAGATCTTTAAAGTGCCTGGATTTCTCCCATGTGGATGTGTCCCCTGGGGCCTCTGACTCGAGCACCGCGGCCTGGAGGGGGGTGCGCCTATGTACGACATGAGGCTACGAGACTTTGGTCGAGACACAACGTGCTGAAGAGACCGCACGGAACACAGACGAGACGAAGCAAGACAATCTTTATTACGGACTGTTGAAACTGTTTCCCAGCCTTCACGAGGGGGGCCAGGCGAGCCGCGAAGCTGGTGATGAATCGTCGTGCGCAGCACTCAACTCCTTACCACGGTGCATCTGAGGCTCAGGGACGGGACTACGTGCGCGCCATTGCTGGATGACGATGCCTGCGCGTTATACGCTGACAGACTGAGAGCTGCCACCGCGCCGCGAGAGGGGCCGGCGCCCACGGTGGTGGGGCCATTCGTGGTGATCCTTGCTTGGCCGTGTAATGCGAGGGGCTGGGCGTGTCAGAGCGCACGCATAGCAGATCCGCTGATCTTGTGATGGACCGAATTTGCCCTGACCGCCATCTTCTCTTCTTTTATCAATTATTCCCTCGTGTTTACGTCCGTAGACAGGAGGCAGACGCCCGCCACGAGGCTGGCGAGCCCTGTTCTCTCCATGCAGGGAGGATGGACGAGTGACACCTCCCAGGAATAGCATTCGGAGCTATCATGGCGAGCCTTGGCGAGGTACATGGAGGGGTGCCCTACGTAGATGCAGTTACCGCTGGCCGCAGCGCAGCAGCAGTGCCATTCAGCCTAGCTTGATGCGTCGACTGGATTTCGCGGACCTTTGCCAACAAACCTAAGGTAGGTAAGTAGGTAACCTAGCTTATTAGCCTTGGGTCAGCCGACAGCACCAGCGCCATGTCACTCTCGGTTCCTGGAATGGTCCCCTGGCGGAGCATCGGCCGCCTGACTGGAGTGCAACATCACCACCAAGCATCGTCTGTGCCTCGTGTCGTTAGAGGTTGTCTTGTTCCTGCCCGGCGTCCCCGGCGTCCCCGGCGTCAGAGACATATTCCAGTGGTAACATGAACAACGGTTACAGAGTGAAGCGGTCGTGGTATTGAGCTGCGCTATGCGTTTTGCTTGAATGGCACCGATACGTCGTGGCCAAAGGACTCTTCGCGCGCGCACTAGTATTGACGGATACTGCGGGGTGTCTCTGGTCTGGTGGCTGCATGATGTGGACTGGAGATGCTGACCCTCCCGCCGCCCCTCGCTGTGGAAGTGGTGGGGTCTACCAGCAGCCATGACGTTCTTGACCGCTTCAGAAGCGCTCTCGGATGCACACAGAATGCCATTTGGAATGAAACCCCCATTTATTATTTTCATTTGGGACAACCGAGCTACCTGGTATCGATGATGCGATAGCTTCATTGTCGCTGATTGCATCTCCGCATGATAACGATGCATTCAGTATTGGGCGCACTTGATTATTATCCAAGTGGAGATCACCATGCCTCGCTCCAGTCTTTCAGCTCAAAACGCATTCTCGAAGGTTTTCGTCCTGGCATCTGTCTTGGAGGCTGGTATGGATCAGCATATCGTGCCCTCCGGCAGACGTCGATGTGACTGCATCCACAAGCGCAGGTATCATCAAGATGGACTACATGACGATGGCAAATAGATCGAGGTTGCAGTCATCTCAGAGGCATTCTCGGCCAACGCGTCCCATGTCAGCACAGCACTAGATGCCGGCCCTCTCCTTACTCCTGATAGCCGAATGAGCTGAATTTAATTAGACTCTCCCGATAAGCTCGGAAGATACATGTATGCACATCAAGACATGCGCACTTGGTTACATTGCTAGCATATAGTACAGTCGTACTAGACTAGCAAGCACATGCAGGGAGAGAGGTACTAGCTGCATGATAATCACAAGTACTAGGCACGGGCACCCGCCTCCTGTTGATTCTATCGATAATCTTGTATGAGTGCCGCAGCCTCCCAGGCGAATGGAATACATGGGAACCCCAATGGGAAATGCTGTCCGTTCTCCTTGACGGCCCCTCCCAGTACCACCTGTCACAGGACTCGACCTGACCCTGGACCTGATCCTCAATGTGCCGTCATCGAGAATATTTGAGTTCGCGTAGCGGGCCCAGAGGACCGCCTAAACATCCACCTCTCAAGCTCTCCGGACCGATCGAAAAAGAACATAGGGACCAACGGCCAGTCAGCCACAAGGCACGGGTGGTTAGCCTACCAGAAATCGCCCGGCCCCCTTGCGCTCGCTCGGGTATGACCCCAAGAGGGAGCTCAGCATACCTTGACGGAAAACTCTGGGCCCGGGAGTGTTGTCCAGCTTTGGTCGCCATCATATGGGAGCCTTTGAAGGCTGGCTAAGAAGACTGCGGCCACTCGGAGGGATCAATTATCAAGCCCGTCAACATACACCGCGGTGCGCTGTTTCTGCATGCTCTATACCCTGCCGTTGAATGTCGAGCATCCGCATACCTCCCATCCTCCCGCTGGGTACACGGACGGGTTGATACATCTTGGAATCTGACCCATCTTGGTTACCCGGTGTGCCTGCTGTGTATCTCCTCGGCTACTGCAAGGGATGTCACGTACATGACAAGTGCAACGCTGACACGCAGGGACCAGTGCCGCGTGCCTTCTTCACCGCCATTTTGACCGTGGCCTTGCTTCGTCGTCGCGGTGTTGTGCATGAAGCAGGTCGGATCTCGCAAGCTATGTAAGGGTCCGATTCTCTTACACCCGGATAAGCCGAGACCCAGCCATGCGCGAAGTGACGCTGGCTAGAACAACCGATCACCTGTGCGGAGAATCTACACTTCCAACCCAACCGGGTCAGAGTCCCCTTGTGATGTACGAAGCGAATAAGATTAGACCTGCTATGTTATAATTGTGGAGTCATCAAAGTATCAACCGCAACCAAGAGATACAAACACAAGACGCCAAAAACATGCCATGCCTCCCATCAAAGGACTCCGACGCCACACATACCAAGTGCCAGTCATACATGCTCCGCTCGTGCCATTGGTCATGTCCATCAAATATCCAACATGCTTCGCACCTTGGTGGGCGGCGCATTGATCGAATTGCTCGTGGCCGTACTGTTACTGCGCTCGCTCGTCGCGGGCCGCTGGCTGCTCGTCGAACCCCTGCCACGCACGTCCCTGTAGTCTGGCGGGGGTCCGTCCTCCTGGAGGTAGGCGAGTCGGCGGATACGCTCTGCTTCAGCCTCGCGATCCCGGCGCTCGACCTCGGCGGGATCGGGGAACAGCAAGCTCGAGGCCATGTCTAGAACACGCTGGTTCTCGGGGTTGCTCCCGCAGGCCAGCTCGTCCCCGCGGTCCATGCTGTGCACGCCAGCCAAGTCGGCACGGGGATTCCACTCCTCCCTGTTGTTCCTCTTTCTGCGGCCGTAGTTGCTCATCTCGATGTTGATGCCGTCGTCCTGGCGAGCCTCGGACTCCATGTTCTCACGGATGTCCCGCTCCATGTCGCCCTCGGCCCGGCGCCCGACACCCCGTCCCTGGCCAACTTCTTGGACGTTCTTGAGCAGCTTGTCGCGGAAGGTCCCGACAATGTGCTCCCCCTTGACGCGGCGCCACCAGGCAGGCTTGCGGACGAGACCCAACTCCCTGTCCAGGGTCTCGCCGCGCACCCTTCTCTGCCTGATGAGCTCCTTGTCCTCGTTGGGGCTGGCGTAGCCGTAGGCGATCTGGACGATCAGGATGAGGAGCTGCGCTCCGTACCCCCAGCCATAGATGATGGGGACAGGTCCATCCTTCTTGATGACGGAGTAGTCAAAGTCAAAGGAGATGAGTGCCTGATACCCAATGACGCTCAGAAGGAGGGGAATCAGTAAAAGGAAGCGCAGGGGAATCGCCTTGACGAGGCCAACGCCGCGGTTGATGATCCCGCGGTTGCGGGGCTTGTAGTGCCTGATCGAGTGCCACAGTGAGAAGCAGATGACCAACCAGGCGGCAAAGAGGAAGAACGCGCCAACCTTGAATCGGATGCTTGTCGCCGCCACTCGCGCGACGTTCTCGATCTGCTCCGGGTAGCGCTGCTTCTGGGCAAACGTCCAGCTGCGGGGGATGACCATGAAAAAGTTCATCCATGTCAGAAAGTAGAAGATGAGCGGGAGGAAGAACTCGACCCTGGCGCGCCGATCCTCCTCGGACAGGGCGAACGGGTTGGGATCAATGTACTGCCTCTCGAGCCAGCTGCCCCAGTGGCGGACCGCTTCCCACACGACACACGTGGTGCCCATGCACATCAAGTACCAGAAGAAGCTCGTCACGATGAGGGGCAGCTGCTGCACGCGGTACCGGTCGACTTCGACGTTGAGGAACAGGCTGATGAGCGAGCAGGCGCAGACGAAGCAACCCCAGTACCATTGCCACCTCCGTCCGATGGGAGTGAACCGTTTCTCCGTGGGAAGATAATGCCGTCCGTGCTTGGCTAGAACCGTGAGGATGAGGACAAGGGCGATGCCGAATGCGCATGCCATGCCGATGCCAGTAAAGCCGCGCTCGCCGATCGGGTCAACGGGGTAGTAGCAGTTGGTGTGGTTGATAAAGGTGCCATTCTGTAACAAGAGCGGAGGCGCATAGGGCTCCTGCACGAGCCAGCATTTGCTGCCGTTGGACAAGGTCTGGTTGTCGAAGAGAGTGTAGTTGAAGTGCTCGAGCGTGGTCTTGTTGTAGTGCACGCCACCAATCAAGGTGTCGGTATCGTTGTCGCCGCCGGGAAAGTCGATCTCGGCGCGGGCATGGAGGAGGAGGTCGGCGGCGGTGATCATGATGGGCGATGGCGTTGACCCGTGAGGCCTAGAGGAACGGCGGCTTACACGGAAGCGGAAGCCTTATCGCGCTGACTTGACATTCGAGACGGACGGATGGCTCGAGGTGGGAGAGGCGGGAGGTGAGAGTGAGATGGCAGGTTGAGAAAAAGTTTCCAATCGACCGCGACGCGAGGTACGTCCGGGAGAGACACGGGGTTTGCGGTGTTCAACCACCCGCGCGCAAAAGGCGATGGAAGCGAACACCGAAGAGCTACTAATCGGCAGTGCCGGAACCAGGATGATTCAGGTTGGTGGTGCCGTAGAAGGAATTATGGATCGAGGGCGCCAGAACGGAGGCTGCAAATGCCGCAGTCGATCATCACGTTTGCTGACATAAGCGTAAGTCCGAGAGAGTCTGGCACTCGACCACGCGATTGTATGATCAATCAGTCGCAGTTTGAATGAATTCAATGCTGTGGGATTGCAGTAGGGCAGTAATTACGTTCGCTGATATAGTATCAGGCCTGTTATATAGGATTGTGGATGAGGAGGCCGATGGATGCCATGCAGCTCCAAGCACCCTGGACTTTTGTCAGCCTGCCCTGGGTCTGCCGCGATTTTCTTCCCCACGCTAAGACAAAACATCCATCGAAATCGCCCGAGGCCGAATCTTGACTGCACGAGCAGCCCACCATGACCACAGCATCCCAAGACAACGACGAGCCGTCCTACATCGACTACGAGACATTCCTAGATCCGAATTTCAAGCCAGCTGCCTTTGCCAACTCGCTGGTCGTTGCGACCAACAACCCCAATGACTCCACGCTAGACCTATCAACCCCCCTTTCGAGGGTTCTCTTTGACGCCCAAGAGGTCGACTCGCACATTGACTCTCTGACGACGCGCTCTGCGATACCGCTACTTCAGTATACCCAAGAGCAAACAAGCGCCAGTGCACGGATCGTTGATGAGCTTGACGCTCAGATCAAGACGTTGAATGATAGCTACAAGCAGCTAGAGAAGGAGGTTGTCGATAAGCATGCCGAAGCAGACGAGGTGCGGCAGGTTGCTCTGCGACTATGGGAGACTTTGAGATTGGCGCGGTCTGTTGGTCGATGTCTGCAGCTCGGACGCCAGCTCGAAGTCCAGCATGCCGACCTGGGAGGCTCAGGGGCTGGTGACGACCAAGCCGCTTTGGTGCGGTGCTCCTACACCATTCTCAGTCTGCGGGAGATACTCGAGAAAAGGTCGCAAGGAGAAGAAGGGTTCGGGCTAAACAGAGTGGACGCGGTGCGCAGCCTGCAGGACACCGTCATCAACCCCATTGAACGGTCAGTGCGAGATACAGCGGAGCGAACCATACGCGACTTTGCGATCACAAACTCAATGACATTCACCCAAAGCGAAGAGGCTCGAGAGAACATGGCGTCGGCCATGGCGACTCTATATCTTCTGTCGCCATTGGTCACGCTCAAGGCGGAGAAATGGGAGAAATGGATCCCTCGGTATCTGCTCGTCGCCCTCGAATCCTACATACGGACAGCCCTGCAGACATCTGTGACGATCCTCTCCCGAGCCTTGAGTCAGCTGCCGACGCTGGAAAGGGCGCTGTTGGAAGTCTCTGCCAAATGCCAGCACATTGTCGCCCTGGAGATCATTCTCGAAGCTACCAAGGCGCCTTCGCACCCACTGCTCCCCGCTGATGCACGGCAGAGCCAAGTACCACTGCTGCAGTCCATGTACGCGCACCTGGAGACATCCTCGCTTCCATCGTACTACTGGCGAACAATGGCTAGCAACCTGGCCAGTCGTGTGCAAGACATTGTCAACCGAGGCGGCGTGGTCGCGAGGACCTTGAAATCGAACAAATCCAATGTCGGGGATGCCATCCGACACGCCGTCCTCAGGGGCTGCCAGCCGCCCAACGCACTGTCCGGGTCGAGGAGGACGACGGGCAACTGGGAGCGTGAAAGTGCAGTCATGGTGGCGAGCGTAGTCAACAACCTGGGTCGGTAGACGTGATCTATACGAGACAGGCGGTTATTGACGCACAACGCCTCACTGCCCCCCTGACGAATCAGTCCAGTCTCCATCGAATGGCGGCAAGCGTGCGGCACTGCCATGAGGTGGATCCAGTCCCCGCACGCCTCACCTCAGTCGACCCCATCAATATAATGATCTGTGTTCTCTTCATACTGCAGACCTACTTGAGAAGTCCATAGCTGTTGACTATATCATTTTGCTTCCCACCATGGCTCCCAACGCAGGCCTCGTGCACCCAAAGGAGTACGACATCAAAGACAGCAACGTCGAGCTCATTGGCACCGATATAGACCACCAGGTCAAGTACAATTCGGCCGTGTCCGAGCCAGCCTGGCACGCCAACAATGTAGGCGCCGCGGCTGGCCTTCACATCTGGCGCATTGAGGACTTCCAGGTCGTCGGCTGGCCCAAGGACAAGTACGGCCAGTTCTACGACGGCGACAGCTACATTGTCCTGCACTCGTACAAGGTCGGCGACGACAAGCTGGGCCACGACATCTTTTTCTGGCTGGGCAACCACACCACGCAGGATGAGGCGGGCACCGCGGCATACAAGACCGTCGAGCTCGACGAGTTCCTCCATGGCGCAGCCACCCAGCACCGGGAAGTGCAGCGTGCGCCGTCGGACGAGTTCCTGTCTTTGTTCCCGCGCATATCCATTCGCGCCGGCGGTGTCCGATCTGGCTTCCGCCACGTGGAGGAGGAGGTCAAGGAAGAGATCCTCACACTTCTCCGCGTGTTCAAGAACCCAAGTGCCGGCGCCAACGGGTTGGTTGTGCACGAAGTGGAACCCACTTGGAAAAGCCTGGACGACGGTGATGTCTTTGTCCTGGACACTGGCGACAAGATCTGGGTATGGCAGGGCAAGGGCTGCAGCCCCATGGAGAAGGCCAAGGCAGCCCAGGTTGTCCACGACATGACCCTCGCCAAGCACGTCGATGTCGAGGTCCTGACACAGGCAGAGTCGCGCTCGAGGCGGATCGTTGACCTGCTGGGTGGAAATGACGAGACGCCCACGGACGGATTCAAGGCCAGCCGACCTTTGGCCCAGGCTCGCAAAGTGGGACAGGAGGGGACGACCAAGAAACTTTTCCGCCTGAGCGATGCTTCGGGTGAGCTGACTTTTGACCTGGTCAAGGACGGCCCCACCCTTTCCACGGACGATCTCGATGGGAACGACGTATTTATCCTTGATGACGCTGGTCAGGCTGTCTGGGTTTGGGAAGGGCAAGGGGCCAGTAAGGCGGAGAAGTCCAAGTGGTTGCATGTGGCAAGGGTGTACATCAACTGGCTGACCAGCCAAAACGACGACGCTTATCTCATACCGTTGGCAAAGGTGCACGAGGGTCACGAGAGTCGTTCTTTTTTGAAAGCTATTGAAACATAGTGTTGGAGGTTCGATTTCGCTGGCAGAGCCAGTTGGCTAGGCGTGCCGCAGGGTAAGCGAGTGGCTGCTGGAAAATCAACTTCCGGTTAGAGGACGTGCCCTTGGTCTATTCACAGGTTCGCGTCTTAAACACCCGTCTGAGGCTATTATTTTCCGCCTGCCATCTCGTCGTGATCGGACAAACGGCCGTAATGGCTGCGTGTCATGATCCCTCCTAGTTCAAGATTGTCTCCTCCCGCATGTTTAACTTCCCCCAAGATCTCTTTCCCCGCATGGATGTCACCTTGCTGGAGAGTTGGCGCCTGGTGTTGTGTCACAATTGAGGAGTTGAGCGTGTGTCTTCCGCATCATGTTCTTCCGGAGAACCACGTTGGCCGGGCCAGTATGGGCTGAGAGAGTCCATACCGTGGTCTATAAGACAGGCGCCCGTACCGCATACGATGGCTGGGCTTGCCGAAGCAGGCACTCCCTACATTCTCCTTCAGCTCTCTCTCAAATTCCATCATGCCCTCCGTAAAGCGTGCGATCAGGATTGCCGGCTCGTCTGGCGGTTTCTCCGACCGTCAGCGCGCCATTGGCGACCTGGCCAAGAACTGCGACGTTGACTGCATCATCGGCGACTGGCTGTCCGAATGTACAATGACCCTACACGGCGCGCAGAAACAGGAGAATGAGAAGCTTCGGAAAACAGGACAGCTCACGGACGAGCCTGCCGGTCTCTTTGACCCGACCTTTATGGATAATATCTCACCCGCGTTGCCGTACCTCACGTCCAAGAACATCAAGGTTGCCGTGAACGCTGGTGCGAGCGATACCGAACTTCTCGCAAAGACCGTGGAGGAGGAGGTCAAGAGGCAGGGGCTCGACCTCAAAGTTGGATGGGTGAGTGGTGACGAGGTTACGGAGACTGTGAAGAGGTTGCAGGCCAACGGGGAGGTCTTTCCCAGCTTGATGAACGGGAAGCCTCTGAGTGAATGGGGACACGAAATCATCGCGGCCCAGTAAGTGAAGTCTCTCTCAACGGTGGACTTTTAAGCTGAGACAGAAAAGATGCTACCTCGGAGGCGCAGGCGTTGCTGAGGCCCTTCGCCAGGGCTGCGACATTGTCATTTGCGGTCGTGTTGCCGATGCTGCCACGACTATTGGCGCTGCCATGTGGTGGCACGGCTGGGACCGTGAGACTGACCTGGATCAGATTGCTGGGTCTCTCGTGGCAGGCCACCTGATTGAGTGCTCGGCCTACGTCTGCGGCGGGTACTACTCAGGCTTCAAGAGGCTCATGGACAAATGCGAGAACATTGGCTTCCCCATTGCCGAGGTGGACGCTGACGGTTCATGTGTCATCACCAAAGAAGCTGGCACTGGCGGTGAAGTCTCCGTCGGAACTGTCTCGTCGCAGCTTCTGTACGAAATTCAGGGTCCCCTCTACTACGGTTCCGATGCCACGGCCAACCTCGAGGGCATCGTCATGAGGGAGATTGGCAAGGACCGCGTCCAAGTCACCGGTGTCAAGGGCCTTCCCGCACCATCAACGACCAAGGTCGGACTGACAGCCTGGGGCGGCTACCAAGCCGAGTTCCACTACCACATTGTCGGTCTGGACCTTGAAGAAAAAGCCGAGTGGACGGAGCGGCAAGTTCGCCACTCGATTGGCGACGCGATCAAGGATCTCACCTGTCTCAAGTTCTCGCTGAACGGCTACTCCCAGGAGAACCCTCGGAACCAAGAGGTCGCGACCGTCGACTTGCGCGTCTTTGTCCAGACAAAGAAGAAGGCGCTCGTCGACAAGTCCACTCTTGACGTCCCCGGATTCAACCGCTGGTGCATGGAGAACTTTTTGCAGTCATGTCCTGGTGCGTCCCTGGACAACGACCAGCGCCAGAGCGAGGGCAAGGATTTCTTCGAGTACTACGTGACCCTGCTGCCGCAGTCGGAAGTCAAGCACCGCGTGGAGCTCCCGTGGATGGGGAAGAGCATCGACATTCCAGTGCAGAACAATGTCACGACATATCCGCGGGATCAAAAGTCGTACGAGTGCGCTCGCCCCGTGGACTTGACGTCCTATGGACCTACCACACGCGGACCCCTGGGCTGGGTCGTTGGTGGTCGTTCGGGCGACAAGGCCTCGGATGCCAATGTTGGGTTCTACGTGCGCCACGAAGACGAGTACGACTGGCTACGCAGTCTTCTCACAATGGACAAGGTGCACCAACTCCTCGAGGGCTCCGACAAGGGCCGCAAGATTGAACGGTTTGAGATTCCGGGGATTAGGGCGGTGCACTTTTTGATTCGGGATCACCTGGATCGGGGCTTCAACTCGACGAGCGAGTATGATACGCTGGGTAAGAATGTGTGCGAGTATTTGCGCGCCAAGTACGTCGACATTCCCAACAAGTTCCTCAGAAGGGGGAGGTTCTGAGCTATTCTGGAGCTGTTCAGGACGGACTATTACAGCGAGGCTCAATACCAGCATTTTGTCTGTCCACCCTGGCCTGGAGGTGATATTGCTCCTCTCCTTGCCCAACTGTCCATGAGTGCCATGCTAGTTTCGGGCCGTGCATCTACCGCCGCTATGGTGAGAGCTGCCTGTCCAAGCTGATTATAGTGATACGACAGTGAAATTTTAGTCCAGAAGCTATCGTAGCATTGAATACTTGTAGGCGACGGGACGGGCGAATGGCGATCACCAAGACCATGTCAGCAATGACGTCATAGGAAGGCGTAACGAGGACATCTGCTGACAAGGTGCCAACGCCGCGTCTCGCTTGCACACTTGCGCACTTGCAACAAACCCTGACATCCTGCCGCATCGGCATTCACAAGCAAAGATGGCCCAGCCAGGTCCCCAAGACGAAAGACGCCCCTTGACGCGTCCAGCGGACCAACCCAGCAGCTTCCTGAGGCGCCAAGCGGGGGCCATCAAGCGGTGCGCCATCGCCGCCTCCTATCCCCTACGTGGCATCTGGTTCTTTGTGCGCAGCGGTGAATACTGGCCACTGTTCTTTGGAAGGCTGTTGCCCCTGTCGCTAATATCGTGTCTGGTGTATCTCATCCTGTTCACGTTCGCTTTCCTGCCGCAGCTCGCCTTCCTGGCGATTTTCCAGGGGCGAGGCGCGTGGGTCAATGCGACGTTTCTGGTGCTCGGTGAGGGGCTGGTCATCATCCAGGGTCTTTTTGAAGGCTTCTTTGTAGACGAGTGTCGCGTGGATGTGTTTGATGTGGGTCCATGTTCCTGAGGGCGTCGCAGCTCGGCTAATTGAGAACAGGCTACGCTCATCAAGCTCTCATGGACGGACCTTGTCTCACCACATCGTGTCCTGTACCCAGACGCCCCCAATGCGGTCAAGATGCTTGGGAAACCGACGTCATCCGCCGTGTATACGCCATGGAGTATCGTCCAGATCGTCGAACTCGCATGTTGCCTGCCACTGAATTTCATCCCCTGGTTCGGCACACCCATGTTTGTCATCATCACGGGGACACGCCTGGGCAAGCTGTCCCACTATCGATGGTTCCAGCTGCGTGGATTCTCCAAGCAGGAGCGCAAGGTGGAGGCGAAGCGTCTGGCTTGGGAAGATGTGTGGTTTGGGACGGTGGCCATGATCCTGGAGCTCATCCCGATTCTGTCCTTCTTCTTCCTGCTTACGACCACGGCGGGCGCTGCCATGTGGACAGTGCGTATTGAGGAGGGCCGGCGGTCCGTTGTGTCTGAGGAAGCGGAGCGAGCGGGGGGACCGAGTGAGCAGCCCCCAGCATACACTGATGTTGTGTGACGGGCTACTGTGGCTGCCAAGATTCCGCGGTACGTAGCCCGCAAAGGATTTCATTACTTTGAGGACGTGAATATATTCAAATCGATATGCTTCATGAAACGCTACAATATGTACCGTGGCCTGCAGAGAAGCGACAAGTGCATGTCGTTCGGTCAGATCTTGCCTCGCCAGCCCATCCCCGTCTTGCGCATCTTCACTATCTTGGAGCAGAGCAGGAAGAAGCACCCGAGGGCCAAGGAAGCTCCCGAGAATGCCTGCGCTCCGACATAACTCCCCGTGGAGTCAATGATGGAGCCAGCGATGGGGGGTCCCGTCAGGACGGCTAAGAATATCACAGTCAGCTCGAATCGGGAGACGCGATGCAAAGCACCCCAACTTACCAAACGACACAATCGTGAAACCCATCCCCATGCGCACGCCCAGCTTGCGCAGGTCCGTCGTCAGGAACGACAAGGCGACGGGGAACAGGCTCTGGATACCGCCCGCAAAGATCCCGTAGAGGACGGCCCAGGCATACAAGGCACCCTGCGTGTCCACGGCGATCCAGCAGAAGCTCAGCAGCGAGGTGACGCCGCAGATGGGGATGAAGATGTTGACGGCGCCAAAGCGGTCGGCGAGGAAGTTGGGGATGATCCGGCCGGTGAGGCCGACGCCATTCATGACCAGCAGCAGGTTGAGGGAGCTGTCAAAGCTAAAGGGGTCCTTCTCCAGCCCGTCGCGGGAGAATCTGGCCAGGTAGTAGAAGGCAAAGTAGACACCCCAGAAGAACTGCTCGGGTTAGGACTTTGCGGAGCGTACAGGAGAGGGGACTGGACTCACGCAGAAGGCTCCTGTCACGTAAAAGGTGTACTCGAGCTCCCGGAAGGCGGCCAACTCGACAATAGGTCCCGTCTTGCGCGGCCTGATGCGTGGCTTGGCGAGAGAGTTGGATATGGCGAGGCTCGCGAGCTGGACCAGACCAATGGCCCTGATGGTCCAGGGGAACCCGATCCGGGGCAGGAGCTCGCGCGCCATGATGGGAAAGATGAGTCCGCCGGTGACGGAGCCGGCGGCCGTCAGGCCAATGGCCACGGCCCTCCTCTTGAGAAAGTAGGTCGAGACGAGGGCGAGGGAGGGGCAGAAGAGGAGACCGTTGCCGATGCCGATGCAGATGCCCTGGGCGAGCATAAAGTGCCAGTACTTTGTGCAGAGCGAGGTCATGAAGATGCCGAGCAGCTGGAAGAAGCTGCCGAGGAGGAAGATGGGGCGAAAGTAGCCGGCGTCGGCGAGGCGCCCCGTGAAAGTGCCGAGGAAGAAGAGCAGGAAGACGGTGAGGGAGCCGATGAAGGAGATTTCAAAGTCGGAGCGCTCTGGGAGCAGGGTGGGAAGGTAGTCCTGCCAGACGCCGAAGCTGTTGATGAAGCCCCAGCTGTTGGAGATGACAAAGTGCCCGGCGATGCCTGGGAGGCGGGGGGTGGTTGGTTAGCAGGCTGTGTGAAAGCGTTGGTGTTGGGAGTTGAGGTGTCATTACATTGTGACCAGGCCTGCATGCCACCGTCTGGGGGCGGCCCTGGATCGACGCTGGAGCGCGAAGTGACGCGACTGAGCACGCGGTCTAGTATCGACGGCTGGTCGCCTCCCTCGTCGGAGGAGGACTCGTCGTCGTGGCCATCGTCAGCCTCCGGGAGGGAGGGGTGGTGTTCTGCCCTAGTGCTCGAGGTGGCGCGCTTGTCGGGTGATTGCGCCGTCCTGCTTTCCATCTCGCCAGAGGCATACTGCTGCGATTGCTTCTCGGGGTCACTTTGGCGGTCATGTTCTGTCGCCATGATCGGCGTGTCGCTCGGGGTGGGGTCCCGGGTGGGTGAGTGATGAGAGGAGAGCGTGCGGACGGATGCTGATGCGTTCCAGTCTGGTGGTGGTAGGCGTCACAGTGTCATGTCGCGGCGCGGGAGAGATATAGCAGTGTGTTAGAATGTCCAACTGAGTCATCCTACGGATGCCCATCTGTAGCAATGTGGATAGCTATGAGCGCTGTCGGTCGGGAAGATGAACCTTAGATTCAGTCACCACGTACGAGGGAGTCGGATCCGGGTGACGAATGGAACAAATTGGGCGGTCCCTGTCCGTGGCTGGAAAAATTCTGGTCTCAAAGCCGAAAGGCGGGCAGGGTCCGACAGCGATGCGCAAGGTTAATTACCCAGACTAGGTGAATGTAGCCGACAGGGCGCACGCGTTGCCTTGAAAGGCGTTCATGTTGGCGGATGCGAGGCGGACATAGCCCGGGTATTGCGGATGGCTACCTGCGCGGTTCGATCGCGTTTGAAAGGAGCGCACAGGCAGCGTGAAGCGAGAGGGAAATACCAAGAACGGCCCGACAATCCCCCTGATGAAGCTGGCATCCTGCACACAAACAATTCCACTCATGCTTTCGCACCCGTCGCACCAGGCGCGTCCTCCGGAGATGACCTCCGCTCCCGGCGCTGCGATCTCGGCAGGGACCCACTGAATACTTCCTATTCGGGTAGCATCGGACATGTCACCGGCGGACAAAATGTCAACAAGACAGGACAGGACAGGAGCTTGCCTTGCATGTTCATGTTTGATATCTTTTGCCATCTTCATCAATGTCTTGATACTTAATTATGTATGCCTGGCCATATCATCCCAAGACTCCAGAATCACCCACCCATTTCATTACCCGTGTACTCCCCAGACTCGGAGGACGACTCCAATAGTCTACTCGGACGGACGGAAGTGGAACGGACAAAGAAGAGAACAGCATAGGCTTCCGCTCGCAGTTACCGATAGAAGACGGCCACGGCACCACCCACAACCAGTGCCGCAGCAGCGCGAGGCATAGATCGCTCACCAGCAGCGATGGGCACGGCACCCGTCCCCGTAGGAGACAGGCCCAGTAGGAGAGGCCGGCGCACTGGGGTAGACGGGATAGACAGGCGTAGTGGGATAGATGGGCGGATAGACGGGCGGATACACCGGCGCAGTGGAATAGACGGGAGTGGTCGGGGGCATAGGCACAGTAGGAGCAGCATAAGGTGTCGAGGCACCAGGAGTCCCAGGAGCCTGGGGCGGCCCATCTGCTTGGCGAGCCACATGGCGGCCTGTCCAGCTAGGCCTGGCAGGCGTGTCCGTCTTGGTTTCACGGCTTGCCCAGGAGGATTTCCGGGTCGTTTTGGCGGTCAATGTCGGCACCCTGGGGCTGACTGTCTGCTTCATGTACCTCGTGGTGGCGTCGATCCCCTGGGGCGCTTGAATCTGACCGTCGTAAATCTGCGAGGGTGACGAGCCCTGCATAGGTGTACTACCGCCCACAGCGCGGATGATGATGTAGACCTTCTCACAGTGGGGCGCGATCGACTGATCATACAGGTTGAAAAAGTTGCCCGACTGACAGCGGTAGAAGGTCTCCTCGGACCACAGCGCGAGATGGCCGTTGTTACAGGACGAGAACCCGGCATCGTAGATGGTCCCGGCCTGGTGGGGTTTGTCGAATTGGAACTGGCGGTTGCTGGCAATGTACCCCGTCCGGCCCTGCCCGTCTGCGAGGACGCCGTTCACGAGTCTGATGGCCAGGGCACCGCCGCTGATGCCGTCCTGGCGCCTCGTCTTGGCATTGGCGATGGGCTGGACGACGATCTCGAAGCGACCCTGCGAGAAGGTGGGCTGGCAGCCGGTTGGGGGTGATCCGGGCGGCGGGGTAGCCTCAACTATGCCAGCTATTGTGGCCGCAGCCGCCAAGAGGGATTCAAAGCTCAGAGAGTAACGCATTGTGTCTGAGTATGTGGCTTTCTGGGGACGAGTGTGTTGGAAAAATCGGCAACGATGGAGTGATGGGTTACGGCACAGGCGAAAGACGTGACTTGCTTTATAAAACCTGAAAGTTAGATATGCCCAGAGTATAAAGTGGTATTGGCTAACTTCATATGCGCTGATGATTGAGGTTCTAAAAATCATCCTTTCTAGATGTAGAGCTCTTTTCCTCCGCGGAGCAGCTCGTCGGGGACACATTGTGAGCATCATCTTTGCATCAAACGGCCAACCCTCAATGTCACCTCACCCATGGGAGGCCTGGGGCTTGCGGGGACGTCAGTTTCCAGCAACCCGAAGTTTGACGTGGAGTAGAAACTGTACGCGGAACAGCTAAAAACAGAATCCGGCGCCAGCGTGAAGACCATTCTGGGGCCGCAAAGAGACCGAACGCGCACACTTGTTGTGGGATGAGCTGTCTGATGCGCACGACGCTCATTTGTTTCCCGCACACTGGCACTCGAAAGTTCCAGTATACATTGACCGACAGTAGATTGAGGGCTTTCTCTTCGAAATTTCTGCTATCATTATTCACTGCCGTTCTTTGTGCTTACTGGTCATCTTTTGCACAATTATGCCCTTTCCAGATTGGCAAAACTGAAGGACTAGGTGCTCTGAAACTAGAGGGTCTTTGACATGGGGAGTTTTCAGGGTTTGGATTTACAAAATTGAAAGGCGGTCCGATCGTTAGAGTTCCCCTGGCCCCTTGGAAATTAAAAGCTACATGCATTTAGTCTACCAGTGTGCCTTCGCTTGCATAGTAAATCCTGTACTACGTTGCGTCTGGTTAACATTTCTGCCCAGCCTTCCTCCTTGATGCTCATCACTCAACAGCGTTCTGGCGCCGGTGCCTGGTCATCTTGCAACCCTCAGGAAGTTGGTAAAGGCCGTTGACTTCAGGCTGTCTCGAGCTTAACTTGGTCATCCAACACCGCGGGGAAGCTTTCTCCAGATGTTTTCGTGCCGTTTAATTCTACGTACTAAACTAAACGGGATATTGCTAAGAATACACATGTACCATCAACATCGATGTTGTTGTGCAATCAGCCGTCATTCTCTGCCGTCTCTATGCGATTCCTCAGCGAGGAATATGTAGGATAGCAATAAGCCACCGTCACATACAGATGTTGGGCACATACGTCTCTATCAGCTCTCTTGCCAAGCATTTCTTTTTATTGATAACAATCAATTGTCGTCATGCATTATGCTACGCATGCTCTAAGCCCCCGCGATCTCAGATTCCGGCCATCAAGGGGTATGCGTAACCGCATGCAAGTTGGAACTTCCGCCTCTCCGGCGCTAAGGTTTGAATTGAGAGAGGATGAAGACATAGTACCGGACCCCGTCATAATATACCAGATTCAAGGGCTCGGTGTCATTCGCCTCTGAAGTGCCCCAAGATGTCGCGAAGTTCCCTGTGCCGCGCCCGCCCGCTACACTTGCTGAAATGTTGCTACTTGTACGGAGTAGTCGCATAAACATATGTCCCAGAGCTTCTGTCGAATTGTTGTCTTTCCTCGCCTGCGAGCCAGCGCTGTCGACCACACGACACAACCCTAGAGTCCCTGCAGGCAGTTCGCCATGACTACGATGTTCCGCCGTCAACGCAAGGTCGATTGGCGATCATCATGGTCTCCTCTTTCACTGAAGAATTTGAGGCCACTGACAACTATTGCACGTAAGATTTATTTCCGACGACTGATGATGTCTTTCCCGACAGCGGCATTGCATTTTGCCCACCGCGTCTCCAACACGAAGACTGATGTGTGCTCTCCCTCAACTTCCATGCGATGCGATTTGTCTCATGCGCCCTAAGCACCATGACGCCTGGTATCCGAAGACGCAGGAACTTGGCCAAATTCAAAAGAAGGCATTGCGTTGAGCCATGTCTATGCCAAGTCTTTTCGTGACGAGGATCGACTTGCCTAACCCAGCCACTCCTCCGTGCACCATTATCACCCGCCCAAAGTTGGTGCAAACATCACGTCGCGCCACAATCAGTGCAACCCTGACTAACGCTCGTTATATTGAAGTTGCCAGCGATGTCACAGCGACGTAACAACGTATTGGTTCCTATCATGTGCCTGAAACCAGGTTACCCGCGTATATATGCGTGTCTGCAGGTCCAAGTCCACGGAAAACGAAAGCTCGCCATGGATGATGTCTTTTTTCGGCAGGTCGTCTGCCAAGGTCGGTCAACTCAGCATGAGTCTATTTCGCGCAATATGGAGAGGGAGACGATCAACACGAGAGTTGTGTGTAGTATTATTAATCTATCTGTTCACAGTGTCGGAACTCCCCGTGCAGGCCACGCGTGCTTTCGCCGGCGCGCAGGACCGTTCTGAACAGCGAGCCCTGGAATCAGCCTTGGATGCAATCGTGCAGTATTCATCAAGGATCAAGGAACCTTTCCGTCTAATATAATGTGCTGACGATTGTGATCTCGGCATGTAACCTCAAATCATAAATGCCCCTCGGGATCTACCACATGCCCAACAATGCCATCGTATTCCTACTAAAGTGCCAGGGCAAATTACCGTATTGATTAGACTGCAAATTAGGGACACAGGAAATCCCTGCACGGCAAATATGGTCTTGCCCAATCGGTGGTCCATGACCGTTGCGAACCCCTGGCTAGTGACTAGTCGACTCCCGGCGTTAAACCGTTTCGACCATGATTCTCCACGCAAGCCCCCTGTCTCCGGAGTTCGGAGACGGTATGTTTCTTCATTGCATGAATGTAACCATCATCGCCTGCCTATCGCAGCCATATAGTCAGGGTCGTGCCGACAAAAGCTCCCTCCATCACCCAATCCGCCTTCCCCAAAGGGCACAAACCAACTACTCTCGATGGAGGTCTAGTCCCAAGACTTGGACTCTGCGTAGCATCGAAGCTCTTCTGACCAGTGGGGAAACAAGGGCCAACCTATCATCTCGGAATGTCAAAAGACCCTGCAGATGCTTGGCGGTCAACTGCCTTCCTGGGGTAGGCAGACCGTTTTCGTAGATGGTAGAGATACCGAGAGGTGCCCCTGGATATCAACGGATTGAGACTCCACGGGTTGGAGAAGAACTCGGAGGTTACCATGGGCTCATCGACATGGGTCGTGCTTTGCTCTGGTATTATAAAGAGCCAGTTGATCGCCGCCATGCATCGCACGGAAGGATTCTGTGCTTCCACACGACTCTCCTCACGGCACGATGAAGTACCAGATGCTCCTTGGCCTCACCGGCCTCGCGGCTGTCCACGCCCACCCCCAACGTCGCCAGCCCAACAATGGTGCGTCCGCCTTGTCCAAGCGCGGCATCGACCTCTCAGGGTACACCATGCCTGGTCTTGGCTCGTACACGAAGACCTCCAGCGTCAAGCCAGCCGAGATGCGCAGCTCGTCGTCCGACTACGTGGAAACAGCCACCAAGCTCGTCAAGGAAAGGTTCCCGGACCTCGAGTTCCGTATCATTGACGACGCATACGTTGGTAGAAACGGCGTCGGGCATGTCAACTTTAAGCAGACTGTCCACGGTCTGGACGTGGACAATGGCGACTTTCACGTGAACGTAGGTTGGCAGACATACTCAGCCACCTAACTACGACCCCAAGATCATATGCTGACAACACATGGATCAGGTTCGCGACGGCAAGGTCTTCTCCCACGGAAACAGCTTCTTCACCGGCAAGCTGCCCAGCGACTCACCCCTGAAGAAGCGCGATTACTCAAACCCCATTGATGCCCTTCGTGGTGCCATCAAGACCTTGGGTCTGCCCCTCGAGGCTGACAACGCCATCGTTGAGCAAAGCCTCATCGGCAGCGAGCACCCAGAGCAGTACACCATCGGCGGCGCAGACGGTGACGTGGGCAAGCTCGAGACTCGGCTCTTGTGGGTGAGCAACGGCAACGACAAGGACCTGCAGCTCTCCTGGCGCGTGGAGACGGAACTCGAGGACAACTGGCTGCTGACCTATGTCGACGCCTCGGACACCACTCGTGTGGTTGGCGTCGTCGACTACGACTCGGACGCCACCTATGAAGTTTACCCATGGGGCTTCAATGATCCCCTCGACTCTGACGTGGAGAGAACCGTCGTGGAGGATCCCTGGCTCCTCGAGGCGTCGCCCTTCGGTTGGCACAATGACGGTGCCAGGGAGTACACCACCACCCGTGGCAACAACGGCATCGCCCAGGTGAATCCCAGCGGTGTGGATGGCTACCTCGACCGCTACCGTCCCGAGAGCGAGGATCTTGCCTTTGAATACCCCTTTCCCCTCAACGAGACCGACAACACCAAGTACTGGGATGCTTCCATCACCCAGCTCTTCTACACGACCAACCACCTCCACGACCTCCTGTACGTGCTCGGCTTCAACGAGGAGGCGGGCAACTTCCAGATCAGCAACAATGGCAACGGGGGCCGGGGCAACGACTTTGTCTACCTCCAGTCCCAGGACGGCTCCAGCACGAACAATGCCAACTTCCGCACGCCCCCGGACGGCCAGAACGGCCGCATGCGCATGTACATGTTCACCTCGACCGAACCCAAGCGCGACTCAAGCTTCGATGCCGGCGTCGTCATCCACGAGTACGTCCACGGCCTCTCGACCCGTCTGACCGGCGGGCCCGCCAACTCCAACTGCCTCAGCTCGGGCGAGCCCGGCGGCATGGGCGAGGGCTGGTCCGACTTCTTCGCGACCACCATCCGCCTCAAGCCCGGTGACACGCGCGCCACCGACTACCCCATGGGCGACTGGGTCACCGGCAACCCGGCGGGCATCCGCAAGTACGTCTACTCCACCAGCCTGACCACCAACCCGCACACCTACGCCGCCGTCGAGGGCCTCACCCGCGTGCACGACATTGGCAACATCTGGGCCACCATCCTCTACGAGGTCCTCTGGAACCTCATTGACAAGCACGGCAAGAACGACGACGCCTTCCCCGTCCTCGACGGCGCGGGTGTTCCCC